AAGGGAAGGTTTTAATGTTTGATGTCTTGCTGTGTTTTAATTTGTTGGAAGCTGCCCAGAGTGGCTGGGGAAACCCAGTCAGGTTGGAAGGTCGGCGGTTCGAATCCCCGCAATGACGGGGTGAGCTCCCGTTGCTCTGTCCCAGCTCCTGCCAACCTAGCAGTTCAAAAGCATGGCAAAGTGCAAGTAGATAAATAGGTACCGCTGCAGCCGTATCTCTTATAAGGGGGTTAGTTTAACCTCTGGGTTTGCTATAGCAAAATTGAATTACTGTGTCGTGAAAGGATGCGTGTCTTAAAAAGCGTGTCGGCGACATTAAAAGTTTGGGAAGCTCTGCAGGCCTAAGACTATAGAGCCCAAGATGCCAGCATCCTTGTGTTAGGAAAACCCATTTGAAACCAAAGCCAAGTAAAATCACTACAGAGCCCACGGTGCAGTTTTGCAGCAATGGGAGAGCTGTGACCTTAAGAAGCAAAGCGGGTTACTACAGAACCCATGAGCCAGTGCTACTTGTGATGAGAAAAACGTGGGAGAGAGAGAGAGAAAGAGAGAGAGAGAGAGAGAGAGAGAGAGAGAGAGAGAGAGAGAGGGAGAGAGAAAGAAGAAAGAGAAGGGAGGGAGGGAGGGAGGATGGAAAGGGAAGGAAGGAAGGCAAGAGAAGGAAGGAGAAGGAGGGAAGGAAGGAGAAGGAGGGAAGGAAGGGGAAGGAAGGAAAGAGAAGGAAGCGAGGGAGGGAGGGAGGGAGGGAGGGAGGAGGAAAGGAAGGAAGGAAGGAAAGAGAAGGAAGGAAGGAAGGAAGGAAGGAAGGAAGGAAGGGGAAGGAAGGAAAGAGAAGGAAGGGAGGGAGGGAGGGAGAAAGGAAAGGGAAGGAAGGCAAGAGAAGGAAGGAGAAGGAGGGAAGGAAGGAGAAGGAGGGAAGGAAGGAGAAGGAGGGAAGGAAGGAAGGGGAAGGAGGGAAGGAAGAAAAGATAAGGAAGGAAGGAAGGAAGGAAGGAAGGAAGGAAGGAAAGGAAGGAAAGGAGGGAAGGAAGGAGGCTTAAAGCCTTGGAGTTGCAGGGGAAAAGATTCCTGTGAGTTTGAACCTAGGTCTCTCTGACACACATCCAGGCAACAATGCCTTCTCTCTCTCCCTGTCTTCTCTCTCTCTCTCTCTCTCTCTCTCTCTCTCTCTCTCTCTGTGCAACACATGACAACTGTGGGGGGGAGCAGCCGCCAGGCAAGCCGGGTGGCGGAGGGCCAAGGCGACTGCCGACTCTGCCGCCAAGCCAGCAGCGGTTGAAGGCTGTCTCTCCATGGCAACGGTTGTCCAGCTGACCTGCGCGGGGGGGGGGGGGATGGCAGAGAGCCGGGCTGCGCATGCAGGCGCATATATATCCCTCCCTCCCTCGTGCGCAGGAAGTCCTGCGGCGCATGCCAGCCCCCCTCCCTGCCCCTGCCGCGCGGCGCATAAAGCTTGCAGATGTGAAACTCTCTTTCCAAAACCGCCATCGCTGTTTGTTCAAAGAGCTGGCGCTCTTGGCAGCAGGAAGTTGGGACTTTGGAGACATTGGCAGGTTGGGGAGGGAACCCCAGTGGTCATCCATCCCAACCCGCTTTGCAATGCAGGAATCTCAGCTAAAGCATTCAGGAGAAGGCCACCATTTTTCGGACAAACAGCTCTCACTGTCAGAAAGTTCTTCCTAATGTTGAGTTGATGCAAAAACTAGGGGATTGTGTGTGTGTGTGTGTGTCTGTCTGTCTGTCTGTCTGTCTCACGCCTCCTTTGCCCCAAGCTCAAGCTTCTGTCCCTCATGAGGCCCAGAGAAGAGGGGAAAAAATGAAGGCTAGGGAAGAGGAAAAAGGACTCCCGCAATTCGGCCGGCCGTGAGGGTTAGGCAGGGGAAAGGATCGATTCCTGAAATCGTTTCATAACCAAAGAGCAGCATTGACTGAGTTCTGGCAGGGGGGGGGGAAGGACGCCTCTGGCCGGCTGGCCGCTTTGATTTTACAAAGGCAGAGCCAATTTTTGGAGCTGGGTGCGAATCCAGGCCACCCGCTGAGCGGAGGGGGAAGTCTCAAAGCTCTCCAGAGCTATCAGTACAGTTTCCGAGCACAATTCAAAGGGTTGGTGCTGACCTTTAAAGCCCTAAACGTCCCAGTAGACCTGAAGGAGCATCTCCACCCCGGACACCGGGGTCCATCTCCTGAGGGCCTTCTGGCGGTTCCCTCCCTGCGAGAAGAGAGTTACAGGGAAGCAGGCAGAGGGCCTTCTCGGTAGTGGCACCCGCCCTGTGGAACCTCCTCCCACCAGATGTCAAAGAGAAACAACTACCAGACTTTTAGAAGACATCTGAAGGCAGCCCTGTTGAGGGAAGCTTTTAATGTTTGATGCATTACTGTATTTTAATATTTTGTCTGAACTGAACAGAAGCTGAGCCAGGCCACGGAGCGGACTATTCTTCCTACACTGGCTGGCAGCGGCTCTCTAGGTTTCAGGTAGGGGGCCAAGCAAGGACTGAACCTGAGGCCCTTCTACATGCCAAGCAACTGCCCTAGCCCACTGAGCCATGGACACGAAAATATTCAAATAAAACACGGAAATATTCAAATAAAAACAAGCAAATATGTTTCCTTTTGCCCGCCCAGGGCTGCCAGCTGTTACAGCGCCTCTGTTGACATGAGCCAACAGTGTGACGCGGCAGCTAAAAAAGCCAATGCAATTCTGGGCTGCATCCATAGGAATATAGCATCTAGATCAAGGGAAGTAATAGTGCCACTGTATTCTGCTCTGGTCAGACCTCACCTGGAGTACTGTGTCCAGTTCTGGGCACCACAGTTCAAGAAGGACACTGACAAACTGGAACGTGTCCAGAGGAGGGCAACCAAAATGGTCAAAGGCCTGGAAACGATGCCTTATGAGGAACGGCTAAGGGAGCTGGGCATGTTTAGCCTGGAGAAGAGGAGGTGAAGGGGTGATATGATAGCCATGTTCAAATATATAAAAGGATGTCACATAGAGGAGGGAGAAAGGTTGTTTTCTGCTGCTCCAGAGAAGCGGACACGGAGCAATGGATCCAAACTACAAGAAAGAAGATTCCACCTAAACATTAGGAAGAACTTCCTGACAGTAAGAGCTGTTCGACAGTGGAATTTGCTGCCAAGGAGTGTGGTGGAGTCTCCTTCTTTGGAGGTCTTTAAGCAGAGGCTTGACAACCATATGTCAGGAGTGCTCTGATGGTGTTTCCTGCTTGGCAGGGGGTTGGACTTGATGGCCCTTGTGGTCTATTCCAACTCTAGGATTCTATGATTCTTCCCTCTTCGCTGCGCCCATCAAAACACAAGCACTTACGTTCCCTCTCTCTCTCTCTCAGACAGGGAGAAATTACCAGGCGCTCACGTTATTCATTAATCCGCCCTGCGAGGCCATCGGAGGAGGTAGCGGCCTTGGCCAAGGAGTCGGAGAGGGACGGGGAGATTGCCTGCCCCACGGCGACCGCTCCTCCCTCGGCCTTGGGAACCTTTGGACCGCCGGGTGCTGCTGAGCTACAACTCCCACCAGTGCCGGATTTACGTCTAAGCTCAACAAGCTCTAGCTTAGGGCCCCACTCTCTTGGGGGCCCCCAGAAAAATTAAAGGGGAAAAAACCTGGATGTACATAAATATAAGATAATAAACAAATAAAATAAAACCTACATCCAGCAACTGTGTTTTGCATTGTGTAGGCTCCTCTGATGTAAGTCATGGGCCCCGCCTGCTCCCTAAAATATCCCTGGTTTGCTCCTTTCTATATATAGGGTGCCGACATTCTGCATGGACTGTTGCAGGGCAAGATGTGCATGTGAGATACCTAAAAGGTAAAGGGACCCCTGACCATTCGGTCCAGTTGTGGACGACTCTGGGGTTGCGGCGCTCATCTCGCTTTACTGGCCGAGGGAGCCGGCGTACAGCTTCCGGGTCATGTGGCCAGCAGGACGAAGCCGCTTCTGGCAACCAGAGCAGCGCACGGAAACGCCGTTCACCTTCCTGCTGGAGTGGTACCTATTGACCTACTTACACTTTGACGTGCTTTCTAACTGCTAGGTTGGCAGGAGCAGGGACCGAGCAACGGGAGCTCACCCCGTCATTGCGGGGATTCGAACCGCCGACCTTCTGATCGGCAAGTCCTAGGCTCTGTGGTTTAACCCCCAGCGCCACCCGCGTCCCTCTTGATACCTATTAGGTCCATAAATGACCATATAGCACAGGAATCCCCAAACTTAACTCTCCAGATGTTTTGGCACTACAACTCCCATCATCCCTAGCTAACAGGACCAGTGGTCAGGGATGATGGGAGTTGTAGTCCCAAAACATCTGGAGGGCCGAGTTTATCTATGCCTGATATAGCATCTATTCAACACAAAAACAGCAAAAAATTGTTGTCGACAAAGGACAGCTGGACATAGAAAGGACCCCGTTACCTTCAGGAGCGGAGGGCCGCATCAAACCTCAATCCGGCCCTGACTCCCGCTCGCCACAGCAAGAAGCCCCAGCGGCGCTAGCTTACGAGAACACCACAAGAGCCTGCTGGATCGGGCCCAAAGGGGGGGGGACATCTTAGCCCACCCTCCCAATCCTTGCAGAGGCTAAGCAGCTAAGGCCCCTGCAAGCAAGGCCAGGGGAAGAACTGCCTATTTTTCGCCACCAGGTAGACGGGTCCTGTCCATGGAGGCTCTCTTTTTAGGAATCAGAAGTGGCGCAGAAGACGATGCATTTTGCCTGTCCCCTCTCTGTTTCCTCTGCACAAACAACCCAGGCTGCCTTTGTGGTGTGAGAGAGTGTGCAGGGAATTGAACCGTGGTTCCAACCACTACACCGCACTGCCCTTTTTTGTCAAGAGCGACGGAGCAATCAGGAAAGCGCTTCCTTGGCACCCGCCTCGCAACACGGAGGTGGGTGGTGGTGCACCCCATAACAGCACATAATATTCCTCCCCCCCCCACTGCACGGAAAAGACACATCTCCCCATAGTTAGGGTCTCTTACCTCCAGGGGTGCAACGCCAGGGGGCTGAGAGGGCTGAGGGGACTGAGGAGGGTCGGACTCTGGCTCCCGGGCGAGAGGCTGCAGAAGGAAGAGAGCCAAGGAGAATGAGGCGGCGGTGTGAATAGGGGTCAGAGGCGCAACCCCACCCCACAGGAGATGAGTTGGGGGGCAGTGACAGGGACCCAGTCCGTTGCCACCCACCCCCCATCTAGAGACGACAGCTCCTTACACGTCCAGGGATATCCGATCGCAGAGCTACAGTTCCCAAAGCAGGGAACTGTAGCGCTGCCTGGGCACTGTGCCGTTGAAGCCCCAAGCGACACCGGTTGGGGGGCAATGGGGTATTAGGTGGAGAGGGGGAGAGATGAAACTCCTTGCAGGTGAGAAGATCTTGGAAAGCCCCCCCCCGGTTTGTAAGATCTGGGGAGACCGGAGCGGGGAGCACTCTGCCCATGCCCAGAGGGCCTCTTAATATCCCAAGCTCAAAAATGGCGAGGCTGGTTCTTCTCGCACAACAACCCTGAGAGGTAGGTCAGGCTCAGAGAGGCCACGCAGTGATTTTCAGGGGGAAGCGGACTCGAACCCCGGACTGCCAGGCCCCGGGCGCGCTCGCCCCTACCCCAAACGCCTTTTCCTTCCCCGTGGCAGGCGGAGGTTCAACAGGTGGTGTTCTCCCAGCCCCGCATTTGCTGCGTGCGTGTTTTTTAATCGGAATAAAATTACATCAGGGGAAAGCGGAGCCGCGGAGCTCCTCCCAGATAGCTTAGTGGCGCCGCCCGGGCAACCCTCTCGCCAGTCGGGGGTGGGGGGACGGACGGGGACCCGCCTGGCAGGTTTGCGGAGGGCGCCACAGCCCGGGGTGGGCTACATGAGCTCTGCGGGACCCTTCCCGGAGGCGGAGGCGCGCTTTGGGTTGGGAGAAGCCACGGAGAGCCCTTTTTTCATCCTCTCTCTTTGGGGAATCACCGCCGCCCCCTCCCTCCGCAGCCGGTTCCCTGGCAACCGAGCCGTGCGTCATTGGAGACCCCGGGATGGAAGGAGGGGAGAGGGGAGGGAGGGAGAGGGATCCCCCGAAGGCAGAAAGAGGGGCCGCGAGAGAGAAAAAGACCCCCAACCCCACAGCCCTGCCCAGCTTTCGGTGCCAAGCCAGCGCTCCGCCGTGCGCCCCTCTCCAATCGCCCCCGGGTCGCTGCCTGCCGGCGCTGGAACCTCTCCCCCAGTTTCCCCACCCTCTCCCCGAGCGGGGGCGCCCAGGAGCCCCCCCTAAACTCACTCCACCAAGGTCAGCGAAGGGATCTTCAGCTTGGCACGGCGCGCCTGCATGGCGACGGCGGTGGCAACGCGCAGCCCCGACGGCGCGTCCGCCGCGCTCTGCTCGCCTGGCGCGGCTTCCCCCGGCGCTGGCTCGCTCGCCCGCCCACCCGGCCCTCCTCCTCCCCCCCCCAACCTCGGAGGGAGGGAGGGAGAAGAGGGACTGGGAGGAACAGAAAAGCCCTGGGGTGGGGGTGCTTGGAGCGCGCGCCGCCGCCCCCGGAGGAATGAAAAAAGCGCAAGCAACGAGGCGCCAGTTGGCCAGGTTTTTGGAGAAAGGCGCGCGTCCCCGCTGGGGGACCCGACCTCTCCAATGGAAAAGGCTCGGGGCGCCGCCGCTCTCAAGAGGGGCGGGCGCATAGGTGCCAAACGCCCGGGGGCGCTGTGTGCCCGGGCCCCACCAAATTCCCCACCAAGGGGCCGGGCACCCACAAATTTCAGTGCCAGGGCCGTGAATTGGTCGCGGCGGGGCCGTGGGCGGAGACAAGAGACTTGTACAGTACGGAGGTTCGTCTAGCTCTGTAGTGCGCACACGGGTTGGCAGCAGCGGATGCTCTCCTGGGTTCCCCCGCGCTCCAACTCTGCGGGGAATGTACGAGCGAGAAAATCACCACCAGAACCAATCTCAAAAGCAATTCCGACACGGAAACAGGTTGGGAGAAACTATCGCTTAAAAAGGCGCCGCCACAGGGAGCTGAACTCTGGAACTCCCTGCCACATGAGACAGCAAAGGGGCACCGGTTCGCAGGCTATCGAGGGCGAGGCACCGTCATGCCTCTCGAGTCCCCATTGGCTGGGAAAGGCTCTTCGGACATTCTCGAGGGTCCCCGAACTTTTCTCTGCGGGCCACACTTTCGGAACAGGAATTTGCTTGCACCGATTTATTTTTTTTATTGCATAGGAAAACAAAATGAAAACAACTGCCAGCAGGGCTTGGTTTGGAACACAGAACACAGCTGCTTTATAATATGATCCGTGGGGCGTCCGGAAAATGTATAACAATCATAGAACGGCAGAGCCGAAAGGGCCCACCAGAGCCATCTAGTCCAGCCCCCTCTAATGCTCTTGAAAAGAGGCCTAGATACTGTTTCTGGTTGTATATCCCATTGATTGATTGATTGATTGATTGATCGATTGTAGGGCTGGGCAGTATCTGGTTTTCAACTTTGTGATGTATCACCAGCCAAACTGCGATATATCGATATATCATGATGTCCGAATAAGGATGGAGTAGGTTTTCAACATCACGCTATATCGCCAGCTAAATATCACACTGTCTGGTATAAGGATGGAGCTATTGGGGCTTCACAGTTTCCCCCAAATTGCGATTTTTTTCCAGAAAACACAGACACACATATCGTGATTTGCAAATATATCACCAGGTCAAAAAATCATGAAACCGATATCACGATACAGACTCCAGACCGTATCGTGGGGTATAATAAATTATTATTATTATTATTATTATTATTATTATTATTATTATTGGAATACTCTGGCACCAGGAAACCCCTAAAGTGAGCCAGGCTGGCCAGCTGCTTGTGGGCCCTCCAGAGGCATCTATCTGGGTGCCCGCAGAAGCCCGAGCGACGCGACGCAGAACCCGAAACGCGGGGCAGAGCCCCCCACTCACGTTTTCCCACGGCGAGGCAGGCTCAGCTCCTTCTGCGGAAAAGGAAAGGGGGAAAAGACAGTCAGGATGAGGCCGACGGGACTTTGCAGCCGCCCCTTCAGCCTCGCTCAGACCCCTCGAACCCCAGCGCATGAAAGGATGGGAGAGGCATGCCGTCTTTTGGGGGCTGTGGCTCAGTGGTTAGAGAATTCGCTCGGCAAGTTCAACTTCATCTTTGGAACTGCCAGCCAGTGCATGCAACACTGGCTTGGAGGCAGCTCCTCGTTTGAACTAGCCTAAGCATGAGGACTGGTGCCTTGAGTTTCTTTCTCTTTCTCCGAATCGGTTTCCCAAATTTTACCGAATCAGCCACAGATTCAGACAGATTTAATACAATTTTCTTTCCAAAAACTGGTTTCCCGCACTCTGCTCTCAATGCCTCTAAGGTTTTTTATTATTATTATTGGTTTTACAAATACGAAGGACAAATAAACCCAAATTAGTATCTGAAGAAGTGTGCATGAACATGAAAGCTTATAGCCAGAACAAACTTAGTTGGTCTCTAAGGTGCTACTGGGGGACATGGGTGGCACCGTGGGTTAAACCACAGAGCCCAGGACTTGACGATCAGAAGGTCGGCGGTTCGAATCCCCGCAATGACGGGGTGAGCTCCCGTTGCTCGGTCCCTGCTCCTGCCAACCTAGCAGTTCGAAAGCACGTCAAAGTGCAAGTAGATCAATAGGTACCACTCCGGCGGGAAGGTAAACGGCGTTTCCATGCGCTGCTCTGGTTCGCCAGAAGCGGCTTAGTCCTGCTGGCCACATGACCCGGAAGCTGTATGCCGGCTCCCTTGGCCAGTAAAGCGAGATGAGCGCCGCAACCCCAGAGTCGGCCACGACTGGACCTAACGGTCAGGGGTCCCTTTACCTTTACCTTAGTATCTGAAGAAGTGTGCATGCACACGAAAGCTTAAACCCAGAACAAACCTAGTTGGCTTCTAAGGTGCTACTGGACAATTTTTTCACGCAGAATGTGAATTTATGGTGAAGTCTCCCTGCTTGCAAACCTGCAAAGGGCCAGTGCAAACACTGCTGAGCTGCGCGTCTCTCTCGCCCCACCCGGGACCAAAGGCCCTGCCTTCTGCCCCCCCAGCTGCCGCCTCCTGAGCACGTGCAGAGCGACTGTCCCAGGACACAGAGGGCAGGGCGCACTTTCCCTGCAATGCTGCCAGCAGGTGTGGGGCGAAGGTCGTCAAATCGATGATAAGAGCAGGAGGTGTGTTGTCACTTCCAAAGCAGGGTGGATAAAAATCAATGGTTTTAAATATATATATATATCCAAAAATTCAGAGTATTATTATCTACTTAAATCGGATTTTTAAAATTTAGATCGGATTTTTAAAAAAAATTAAATCGATTCTTTTATTGCCGGTATAATCTTCATATTTACAACCAGACGAAGGTTTCGTTTTTGGAATGACAAATTTTCGGAGCAGTTTTTACAGTTATATCAAACATTACTGATTTGGTTATACTGCATAGAAATAAATGGTGAGGTTTAATCAGTTAACTGTTTATACTGGGGCAACTTTTCTGCTGTACTTGATTGGAAGGAGAAAAAGAATCATTTCCTTAATAACAATTTAAACAATTCCTTTAACTAAAACAATAACATTATAGCATATGTATCCATGTTTGCTAACTGATGTGGTTAAACGGTTTTCTAAAAAAAAAAAGCTTAGACTGAGTTTTAGCACACATGGAAAACTTGAAGCAAATCCTTATTTCCTGACAAATAGATTTTGGACTATAACATAACTTAAACAGAAAATCTTTAGAAAAATTATTCCTCCAAAAGCATTTTATTTTAAAAATATGATTTAAATTTTTAAAAATCCGATTTAAATTTTAAAAACCCATTTTTAAAAAATAATAATAATAGCTTTTTATCCACCCTGATTCTATCACGTATTCTCTATTTAAGAATTGCTACACTTGGAGCTTCTCTTATCGCACGATTACAGGATCAGGACCACTGAAAGGCTTGTTTTGCCTCTGTGATATTGACGGACTCTCTAATTTTGCTCCTACAAAAGTGATTTATTTTATCACTTGCATCTCCATCATAGATTCTCTGTTGAAGAACGGTGAAACGATACAGGTTATATATATTTTGTTAGGCCTGTGTTATTGCTTAAAGCACGGCAGGAAAAAACCCCGTCCTCTTCCTCCCTCCCTCCCCAAAGGAAGGAGCGAAATTGTCTGAAATGTCAGGAGTGATTTCCTCGCTTTGCCATGTTGGGGTTTGGACAGCTGAGCAGGCTCTGTTCGGCAGCCTGGGGGGGCTGCCAGGGACGATCAGGGTCAAAGGATGTCCTCAGCGTCACCCCAGATTCCTGGTACACACAGATACACAAGGCACCCTTGGTGCTGGCGGGGGGGGGCTCTCAAGGAATCGGGGACAAGGGGGCGACTTTGCCACAGCCCCCTCCCCAAATACCAGACAGCTCATGAACCGTAGAAGCAGCGCCGGATTTACGTATAAGCTAAACAAGAGGTAGCTTAGGGGCCCCACTCTCTTGGGGTCCCCAAAAAAATTTAAGGAAAAAACCCACTGGATATACATTTCCAAATATTATCTATCTGTTCCTATCTGTCTGTCTATCTATCTATCTATATCTGTCTATCTATCATCTATCATCACCTGTCTGTCTGTCTTGTCTGTCTGTCTGGCTGATCTATCTATCTATCATCTATCTATCTATCTATCTTTCTATCTATCTATCTATTTATCTATCTATCATCTATCTATCTATCAATCATCTATCTATCTATATCTTTATCTATCTTGGGAGAAAAACAATGACAAACCTGGACAGCATCTTAAAAAGCAGAGACATCACCTTGCCAACAAAGGTCTGTATAGTTCAAGCTCTGGTTTTCCTAGTAGTGGTGTGTGGAAGTGAGAGCTGGACCATCAAGAAGGCTGATCGCCGAATTATGGATGCTTTTGAATTCTGGTGCTGGAGGAGACTCTTGAGAGTCCCATAGACTGCAAGAAGAACAAACCTCTCCATTCGGAAGGAAATCAGCCCTGAGTGCTCACTGGAAGGACAGATCCTGAAGCTGAGGCTCCAAGACTTTGGCCACCTCAGGAGAAGAGAAGACTCCCTGGAAAAGACCCTGATGTTGGGAAAGATGGAGGGCGCAAGGAGAAAAGATAGATTTAAAGGGGGGGAAATAACTGGAAGTAAATTTCCAATATATTATCTCTATCTATCTATCTATCTATCTATCTATCATCTATCATCTATCATCTATCTATCCAGCTATCTATCCAGCTATCTATCCAGCTATCTATCTATCTATCTATCTATCTATCTATCTATCTATCTATCTATCTATCTACAGTATTTATCATCTATATATCTATTTATGCCAGTGCCGGATTTACGTATAAGCTAAACAGGCTATAGCTTAGCCTCCAGGGGTCAGCAGACTTTTTCAGCAGGGGCTGGTCCACTGTCCCTCAAACCTTGTGGGGGGCCGGACTCTATGGGGGGGGGAATGAACGAATTCCTATGCCCCACAAATAACCAGAGAATGCATTTTAAATAAAAGGACACATTCTACTAATGTAAAAACACGCTGATTCCCGGACCGTCCGAGGGCCGGATTGAGAAGGCGATTGGGCCGGATCTGGCCCCCGGGCCTTACGTTTGCCTCCCCATGGGCTAGATGACCCTGGCTTCCCTTCCAAGCCTGACAATTCTAGGACTTCGTGAAGTTGGAAAGGGCTCCCCAAGGGTCATCCAGCCCAACCCTCCGCCGTGCAGGAATCTCAACGCCACCCAGTCGGAAACCATACTTTGCCCTGATTAGCTAGTCCTAGTGTGAATCTCCTTTATTGTCGCTTGAAGCCACGGCTTCCATGATTAGTATAATTTTATTTTTTAAATCAGGGCCGGGGACAATATGGAGAGGACTTTTGCCCAAGGCGATTCAGTCGCTTGCAAGGTTGTCTGTGTAACACACACAAACAAACACAAACGCAAACACAGCCAAGGGGGGCGGACACAGAAGATGGGGAGGGCAATTGGTACAGCCTGTTCCCTCCGCCGTAGCTCACCAGTGGCCTCTGGTGGCCGTTTTGGGGGAAAGGCCCAGCAGGCTTCTTCTCCCTAACGCCAATTCCCCCACCTTTCCGGACTTGAGATGATATAAAACGGCTTGGAAAAAATGTTTTAAAAATCACATTTGTTACAAAGCCAGGTTTTTTTAAGGAATTGGAGGTGCAGAGACACCGAAGGAAAAGAAAAGACTGTTCCTGTTTTCGCTACAGCAGCTGCAAAGATGCTGGAAAGATGATAAGATACGAGGGCAGACAAAATTATTGGACTATGCAAGAGATGGCAAGGGGAAATCGGGAGGATCAAAACCTCAACAGAGAATGGGACAAATGGGGGCCGGATTGAGGTTCGACGCGGCCCTCAGCTCTTGAAGATAATGGGGCCTTTTATATATCCAGGTGTCCTTTGTCAACAACAAATTATCACTGTTGTGTTTTTTGTGTGTGTGTGTTGAATATATGCTATATGGTCACTGATGGACCGAATAGGTATCTCAAGCTATTTGCACATCACAAAATATGTAATGGTTGAACTGAAATACAATTAAGAAGAGGTATATTAGTAGTGAAATAATGATGAAGGTCTAACTTAAAATGGGTTTTTTATTCGCAACAAACTGAACAATGCAAACACGCTGGCGTTTGGCAAGAACAAAAGTTCCTTTAGAAGCACAATAGACAAAGACTCACCATCTAGTCTCTGGAAACTTGCTATAACATGAAATAATCAGAGGTGTAAATATATGATGCAAGCTACTAAGAATGATAAATAGCAGAATGTCGGCACCCTATATATAAAAAGGATCAAACCAGGGATATTTTAGGGAGCAGGCGGGGCCCAGGACTTACACCAGAGGAGCCAACACAACACAAAACACTGTTTTATTTCATTTGTTTTTTTATCTTATATTTTGGAAATGTACATCCAGTTGTTGTTTTTTCCCTTTAATTTTTTTTGGAGAGTGGGGCCCTAAACTAGAGCTTGTTCAGCTTATTCGTAAATCCGGCACTGGGACAAATAGAGATTGTATTTGAAAGAACACGTGAACTCTTTTCGAGGCTTCAAACAGCTCCTGCCACAATACATAAGACTTTGAATTTAACGGAGGACTGTAGACTAGATGGACTTATCATATGGAGTTGGAGAACTTTCTTAATGAATCCATGGAGGGGAGGAGGGATTCGGAAGAATCGAGCGCAAAATGTTAATATTTGCAGGAATATTATTCCTTGTGAAATCAAATAGAAAACTTTTTTTAAAAGGAGCGCTGCCTCTGGATCAGGCCAAAGGTGTGCCGTCCTCACAATAGAACCTAGAAATCAAGGTAGACTGCCATTGCTCCTGGAGGCTCCATATGGACATAAGGAAGTCCAGGGTGCTGGATCAACCCTAATCCTAACCCAAATGGAAAGAAGCCCCTCCTTCTGAGCAGGAGGCGAGAGTAGAGCCCTTTCCCACTTTCTAAGGTAGACTGGCTCCACCATGGAGGCTCCATTGAGGAATCCTAAGAACCTAAAAGCACCCAAAGGGTGGCCTATCTAAGTCTTGCCCGATAATGCCAAGGTTGTGGGTTCGATCCCCGTACGAGACAGCTGCATATTCCTGCCTTGCAGCAGGTTGGGCTGGATGACCCCTAGGGGTCCCTTGTGAGTCTATAGTTCTACAATTCCTGGCCAGCCAGACACCCCTTTTGGAAAGTCCGCAGGCAGGAACAGGGTGCGAGAGGCCTCTCTCTTTCTGGGGCTTCTCAGGACGGCATGTATGCAGTTGCAATTGAAATTATCTGAGCCCAGTTGCAAATCCGGTTTACTATCAAAACGTATAGGAGTGTGTGTGTAAAAATAAAAATAAAAATAAAATATTTCTACGTCCACAGGGGTGAGCGGCAAGCCTCTGTCTGGAGAGGCTTATTCTGAGCCAGATATTTCCCCTGCCTAGTGATTTTGTCTCTCTCTTTCTGCAAAAATGCACCCTTCGTTCATAAGTGTGAAATTATTACTACTATTATTATTATTATTATTATTATTATTATTATTATTATATTATTATTATTTATACCCCGCCCATCTGGCTGGGCTTCCTCAGCCACTCTGGGTGGCTTCCAAAAAAAAAATAAATTAAAATACTCTAATACATCAAACATTTTTATATGTAATTATTATATAGTTATTATTAAAATTTATTCTATATAAGCATGCACACACAGAGAGATGCTCCCTCAAGGTGGCTTTTTCCTCCGCAATGCACACCACCCCGTTGCACAAACGCGCACGCACACACAATCCCCTCTCCACGCCTCTTGCCCAAGCGAGCATCCTCGACAATTCGAGGATGCACGCCAGCATTGCCGACCCTGGCCGGCAGCAGCAGCAGCAAGAAGTGCCGCTCTCCAAGGTCTCAGGTCAGAAGCAGCCGCTTCCCAGCGCTGCCCGGGGCGGCTGGGTCGTTCTGCACGCCCAGCAGCTGCTCTGCCAGGGAGCAACGCCCCTTCCCCACGAAGAAAACGCGCCCACGCCCCAAGGAGGATCCTCAGCGGGGAAGCACCTTCTGCATGCCACGCAGCAGGTAGGTGGGCTCAGACGCGACCCCCAGGAGGCTGCGGAGCTGGGGAGGGTCTTGGATCTTTCCTTTCACCCCAGGAAAAGAGGCAGGGGGGCTCCAGACCCTCCCCAGTCTTTTCTGCGCGCCCCGCTTCAGCATCCCGACTCACCTGGAGCCCGCGGCGTCGGAGGATGTTCGGCTCGTCCATTGCGCTCCTGGCTGTTGCGCGTCAAGGAGGGTGCAAAGAGGTTCCCGGCACTTGGAGGGGAGGGGAGAGGTTGGGGGGGGGAGAGAAGGAGGCGGAGGGTCCTCTTGGCTGGCATTGGTTGCCGGGGAATCAGCTGATCCCTCCTTGCAGAAAAGGGGGGGGGGCAGAGAGAGAGAGAGAGAGAGAGAGAGAGAGAGAGAGAGAGAGAGAGAGATTTCCCCAGATTCTACAATAGCTCCAAGGGAGGGAAATGACAAGCGCTCTATTTTCACACAGACACGGGATGTTTTTGCATGCACGCAAATGCCCGGACACGCCTTCTGCGCGCGTTCACACGGACACCTTGCAGAAAGGGCGGAGGGCAGAGAAAGAGAGATATTCCCAGATTGTGCAATAGCTCCGGGGGGGGGGGGGAAATGACATGCGCTCTTTTTCCACGCAGACACGGGTGTTTTTTTTTTGCATGCACGCAAATGCCCAGACACGCATCCACACGCATTCACAACCAGAACCGAAACAGGCACGTGCAAAAAGGAGAGGCTGAGGACTCGAACCTTCTCCTGGGATTTGGCCGGCCTCTTAGGACGTGCCGTGGGAACCAAACTCCTAGGGGCAGAGGTCCCTTCGCCACCCCATAATAATAAAAATAAAAAAGAGGGAGCCCCCCTCCCAAGTTGATGGACACTGACATTCAAATGGTGCTCTGTGTCATGTGATATGTGAGGCGGGGCTTTTATGCCCACCCACGCACCCCCACCCACCCAATATTTCACAGAGTTGGAAGGGGGCAAAATCAGGGGTCTTTTGCCCAACGCCGAACTCGAACCCAGCACCCTGTGAGTCCAATTAAAGAAGAATGACGTGGCTACAGGAGGAGGAAGGAACGGGAGTATGTTTGTAACAAGAGTGGGGGAAATCTGATTTTTAAAAAAGAAAAGAAATTGTATTACATTTGGGCTGATGGAGTCTTTTGACTGACTGACATTTGGGCTGAATTGTAATACCAATAAAAAAACAGAGAGAGTCTTGAGTCCCTGCAAAAGGCTCCTATTTAAATTTGTTTTTAATTGTTATTATTTTAAAAATAAAAAGCTTCAAGGAAGCAGCTTCCCGGAGCCGCAGGTGAGGGGTGAGGGCAAGGTGGGGAGGGGGCGACTAAAGGGGGACAGGCTGCCCCCCCCAGAAGGAGCAGAATGTGGCCCCCACCCCATAAATAGTAAATTAAGGACCCAAGCCAGCCTCAAAACAGGGGTCCTGGCCAAGGAAGGGCTCCTTCTTTCAGGGAGGGAGGCAAAGGGGACCCCCCCAGGCTTGAGGGGTGACATCAGGCCTGGCGAGAGGAGGAAAAAAGGCCTCTTTGATCCTCCCGGGTGGGGGCCGGGGACAGGACAAACAGTTACAGGCCCCCTCCTTGCCCTGCAGAGAGGAACAAAGAGCCCCAGTGATGCTCGAGGCCCCCCCTTCGCCGGGTGGGTGGGTGAGTCACCCGGGAGAGACATTGCCAGGCAGCACCCAGGGAAGAGGCCGGTGGCCGGGGGGGGGGGACAGCCCCCGGAAGGAAGGAAGGAAGGAAGGGGACAGGGTGTCCCAGCAGAGAGTCGCCACCCCCCCCCGCCTACCAGCACTGGACTCCAACAAGGGGGGAGGGAGGCAGCGGGGGTCCCAGGAAGGGATGGGTGCTGCCAAGCGGGCGAGGGCACCTAAAGGACTGGATTTTGCTTGCTTCTTCTCCTTCCCCTTCTTCTTCTTCCTCTTCTCCTTCCTCTTCTTCTTCCTCTTCCTCCTCTTCTTCTCCTTCCTCTTCTTCTTCTTCTTCCTCTTCTCCTTCCTCTTCTTCTTCCTCTTCCTCCTCTTCTTCTTCTTCCTCTTCCTCTTCTTCTTCAATCCCTCATAGCCAAGTAAGATTGTCTTCCACAAACCCGGTTTTAACAGTGGGTCCATGACTGTGGAGGCCAATTCTGGATCTCCACGTCCTTCCACAGTGGGCACATTGGTTTCCAGGCGAGAGTTGATCCTGGTGAGGGTTTGCCAAGCGTGCCTTCCTCTTAGCACGTTTCTCCCTTGCGTCCTGAGTTCGAGTGTCTTCAAAGCCCACGACATCTTTGGGAAAGGCTGTTCTCCAACTGGAGCCCTCGCAGGCCAGGGTTTCCCAGTCGTCGGTGTTTATACTACATTTTTAAAAATTTGCCTTGAGACAGTCTTTAAACCTTTTTTGTTGACCACCAGCATTACGCTTTCCATTTTGAAGTTTGGAATAGAGGAGTCGCTTTGGAAGACGATCGTCAGGCATCCGCACAACATGACCAGTCCAACGAAGTTGATGTTGAAGAATCATCGCTTCGACACTGGTGATCTTTGCTTCTTCCAGTACACTGGTATTAGTTCGCCTGTCTTCCCAGGTGATGTATAAAAATTTCAGAGATCCCGTTGATGGAATCTTTTGAGGAGTTGGAGATGGCGTTTATAAGTGGTCCATGTTTCACAAACGTACAGTAATGTTGGTTTAAAGCAGGGGTGCCCAAACTTTTTTCAAAGATTTGATGAAGTGAGCATGTGTGAGGGCCGACCGAAGTTATGAACTTTCTTTAGGATTTTACCCCAGGATGTATACATAGACTGCCACGGGGGCCGGATTAAATCGGCCAGTGGGCCGGATTAGGCCCCCCAAAAGGACTTGCCTGCTTTAAAGCAGGGGTAGGCAAACTAAGGCCTGGGGGCCGGATCCGGCCCAATCGCCTTCTCAATCCAGCCCACACACAGTCCGGGAATCAGTGTGTTTTTACATGAGTAGAATGTGCCCTTTTATTTCAAATGCATCTCTGGGTTATTTGTGGGGCATAGGGATTCGTTCATTATTTTTTTTCAAAATATAGTCCGCCCCCCCACAAGGTCTGAGGGACGGTGGACCGGCCCCCTGCTGAAAAAAATTGCTGACCCCTGGTTTAAAGACTCTCTCAAGGCAAATCTTTTAAAATGTAGTATAAACACCGACAACTGGGAAACACTGACCTGTGAGCGCTCCAGTTGGAGAACAGCCTTGACCAAAGGTGTCCTGGGCTTTGAAGACACTCGAACTCAGGGCGCGAGGGAGAAACGTGCTAGGAGGAAGGCACGCTTGGCAAACCCTCACCAGGATCAACTCCTGCCTGGAAAACAATGTCCCCACTGTGGAAGGACGTGGGGATCCAGAACTGGCCTCCGCAGTCACTTACGGACTCATTGTTCAAACCATGTTTATGGGAGACAATCTTACTCGGCTACGAAGGATTGCCAAAGAAGAAGAAATTCAATAAATGATGATGATGATGATGGCGGGCGATTCAAACCCTGCTCTCCCAGATCCTCGTCCTGCGCTCTAACCACTGCATGGCACTGTCTCAGGGGAGGAGCCGCCCGGAAGAAGCTGAGGCCTGGATGCGACGCAGATAACATTTCAAAGAGGGATGTGGTTTTTGCTCGGCGAGAGTTTGGGCGTCCGGCTCGGAGGAAGTCTCTCGCTTGCTTCGAACGAGAAGGTAGGAGTTGAGTCGATTCCTTTCCTGCGTTCTGTTCTTCGGCTTTCTCGAGAGGAGAGGCGCGCCGGGGGAGAACAGCCACCCAGGTACCCTTCCCCCCCCAAAAAAGGGACACGATCCCTTTGCTTTTGTGGAAATACGCTGCCTTTTCCCCTTTTTAAAAAATAAATACTTGGTATAAGTGGCTGTAAGCCCTAGTGGCTCATTCAAGCCTCAGGCTTCAAGCCTAGTCTATCCAGTCTATCCACACCTGGGCTGGAAGAATCAGCCAGAGCCGATCTTCTGTTATTAGTATAATTTTATTTTTAAAATCAGGGCCGCCAGGGGGAATACGGCCAGGTATTTGACACACAAACTTGTATCTCTCAAACCCACTATAAAAAGGCTTCTGGTTTTTCCACAAAAGTATTTTTAAACATTTTCTTTTGCTCATTATATACCATTTCCCAGAAAGCCTTTACATCTTTGCAAGTCCACTGCATGTGGTAGAATAAACCTTCCCTTTCTTTACATTTCTAACACTCTCTGCTTCTTGTCTTGTACATTTTGTCCAATTTAGCTGGTGCTCAATACTGTACAATTTTAATCTGGAAAACCAAACGAATAAATTGATATATACCGTATTTTTCCGTGTATAACACACACCCGGTGTATAAGACGGCCCCTATTTCTGGGGACTCAAAATTAAGAAAACGGGGAGGAAATCCCCCAGAATTGTCAAGCTTTATTTGGGCAGGATTGCCTCCTGAAATCGCTCACATGCCACACCGACAACGCCACTTGCAAATGTTGCAAAAGCCTGCTCTCCTAACCCCCAATTTTTGACATGATGTTGTTGTTGTTGTTTAGTCATTTAGTCGTGTCCGACTCTTGTGACCCCCTGGACCAGAGCACGCCAGGCCCTCCTGTCTTCCACTGCCTCCCGCAGTTTGGTCAAACTCATGTCTTAGCTTTGAGAACACTGTCCCACCATCTCATCCTCTGTCGTCCCCTTCTCCTTGTGCCCTCCATCTTTCCCAACATCAGGGTCTTTTCCAGGGAGTCTTCTCTCTCATGAGGTGGCCAAAGTATTGGAGCCTCAGCTTCAGGATCTGTCCTTCCAGTGAGCACTCAGGGCTGATTTCCTTCAGAATGGAGAGGTTTGATCTTCTTGCAGTCCATGGGACTCTCCAGAGTCTCCTCCAGCCCCAGAATTCAAAAGCATCCATTCTTCGGCGATCAGCCTTCTTTATGGTCCAGCTCTCACTTCCACACATCACTACTGGGAAAACCAGAGCTTGAACTATATGGACCTTTATTGGCAAGGTGATGTCTCCACTTTGTGATGTACTCTACTTTGACATGATAGTTGAATACAAACACCTAGTCATATACACAGAAAACTATGGTAGATATATATATTTAAAGCCAGGTTCCCCTCTCCCCTTGAGCTCTAAAATGATCTGTGCTGCCTTCTCAAACGAAAACCACACCGCAGAGCTTTCTTTCATTTTTCGTTTTTATTTTCCCTTGCCCCGCTTGCGGGTTTCCCAGAAACACCTGGGCAGGGCCTTGCGGGAAGAGCTCATTTCTGCGCCGGTTTTGCAGCGTCGGCGCAATCTGGGTGCCAGGAGGGGAAGAGAGAGGGGTGAGATCTGGAAAGGAAAGCGAAACAGAGGAGGGGGGACTCAAAAAAGCAAGGCGTCTCCATCCCTAAAGTGACTTTGGGTTCCCCTTGCAGGAGCGGCTGCCGATCAGAGCCCTGCCTCCGTGTCGGCCCCCCTGGAGAGATGTCACACCCGAGGGCCCTTTGGAGAGGAAAGGGCCCCCCCAGGCAGCCGTGGCTGGTGGCCGTGGCCCTGTGGTTCGCCGTGGCGTGGGGGTCAGGCGGTAAGTTATCATCCCTGCCCAGGAAGACATGATAAGGTGCTTCCCTGCCGCAGTTTCTAAATCAGCAATGGCAAGAGAGGAGATTGGGATCGACCGGTAAATCTGTGGCTGATTTGCCGGAGAGACGGAAATCAGGGTTGCGTTGAACGCGACCGCAATATTTCATCTCTCTGGACCTCTGGAAATGTTGGAGGGGATGGAATAGGATGTCCCTCTTTTCAGGGGAGAAACGTTGGAGGGGAAGGAATAGGATGTCCCTATTTTCAGGGGAGAAACGTCGGAGGGGATGGAATAGGACGTCCCTCTTTTCAGGGGAGAAACGTTGGAGGGGATGGAATAGGACGTCCCTCTTTTCAGGGGAGAAACGTTGGAGGGGAAGGAATAGGATGTCCCTATTTTCAGGGGAGAAACGTTGGAGGGGATGCAATAGGACGTCCCTCTTTTCAGGGGAGAAACGTTGGAGGGGATGGAATGGGACGTCCCTATTTTCACAGGAGAAACGTTGGAGGGGATGGAATGGGACGTCCCTATTTTCACAGGAGAAACGTTGGAGGGGATGGAATAGGACGTCCCTATTTTCAGGGGAGAAATGTTGGAGGGGATGGAATAGGACGTCCCTATTTTCAGGGGAGAAACGTTGGAGGGGATGGAATAGGATGTCCCTATTTTCAGGGGAGAAACGTTGGAGGGGATGCAATAGGACGTCCCTATTTTCAGGGGAGAAACGTTGGAGGGGATGGAATGGGACGTCCCTATTTTCAGGGGAGAAATGTTGGAGAGGATGGAATAGGATGTCCCTATTTTCAGGGGAGAAACGTTGGAGGGGATGGAATGGGACGTCCCTATTTTCACAGGAGAAACGTTGGAGGGGATGGAATAGGACGTCCCTATTTTCAGGGGAGAAATGTTGGAGGGGATGGGATAGGACATCCCTATTTTCACAGGAGATGGTGGGACAGTGTTCTCGAAGGTACCAGCATGAGTTTGACCAAACTGCGGGAGGCAGTGGAGGACAGGAGGGCCTGGCGTGCTCTGGTCCAGGGGGTCACGAAGGGGCGGACACGACTAAATGACTCAACAACAACAGTACATAGGGGTCACGCAAACTCAACAACCTACAACAGCAGGCTGCACAGTCAAGAATCGAAGGGAAATATGGCCTTTGAAGGAAAAGGCTACCCTTAGTCATTAATTTCATCGTTGTAATTATATTTATGAATCACTTCCCATAAAAACATCTCAAATTACTCATTTCGCCCGTAGACACGCCCACGATTCCGCTCGTAAAAATCTGCCAAGACCAAGACCATTCTTGCAACCCATCCTGCTTTTTATTTACCGAGCAAGAATTTAAATGCCGGCGGGTTGTTTAAGAAAAGGGTTGCAACTAACCCCAAATATAAATTCCCTTCCATCTGCTTCATCCGGGGGCCATTATCGGGAGAGCCTAAGTTCTGTAATTTATGCTCTGGAAACCTCCAAGTTAGACTACTGCAACGCATTATTTGTGGGGCTGCCCTGGGAGACAGTTCGGAAACTTCTTATTTCTTTCCGTCAGCATTTAATGCTTTATTGATTAGAATATGGTCAATCAACAGTATAACAAAACAATAATGCATGTTACGAAAAAGAATTTTTTCCCTACGCAATAAATTCCATTTTGCACCTCGGTTGTGCACATTTTTGCAAGTAAATAGGTCAGGAGAACAACAGAGAGTCGAGGAAGTGGTGCTTTCCCCCCTGAAGTCAGCGCAAAGGAAATTGCGCACAGAAACAGGGAGGCGGCAGGTTCTGTGCCGCACAAACTCTCTCGTGAACCACACAGGATTATCTCGGAGGCGGGGGCAAGGATGATATCCTCTGTCTTTTTAAAATGTGGTTTTTGTGGAGGGGCCTGTTGTCGTTATTTTCATTAGGTATTTTGTGGTTTCTATATCTTGGTTTTGTTCTGTGAGGGACGGGAATAGGACGTTGGAGGGGATGGAATAGGACGTCCCTCTTCTAATGGGAGAAACGTTGGAGGGGATGGAATAGGACGTCCCTATTTTCAGGGGAGAAACATTGGAGGGGATGGAATGGGCGTCCCTCTTTTCAGGGGAGAAACGTTGGAGGGGATGGAATAGGACGTCCCTCTTTTCACAGGAGAAACGTTGGAGGGGATGGAATAGGACGTCCCTCTTTTCACAGGAGAAACGTTGGAGGGGATGGAATAGGACGTCCCTATTTTCAGGGGAGAAACGTTGGAGGGGGTGGAATAGGACGTCCCTATTTTCAGGGGAGAAACGTTGGAGGGGATGGAATGGGACGTCCCTATTTTCAGGGGAGAAACGTTGGAGGGGATGGAATAGGACGTCCCTCTTTTCAGGGGAGAAGCGTTGGAGGGGATGGAAAAGGACGTCCCTATTTTCAGGGGAGAAACGTTGGAGGGGATGGAATAGGACGTCCCTATTTTCAGGGGAGAAACGTTGGAAGGACGGCCCTATTTTCAGGGGAGAAACGTTGGAGGGATGAATAGGACGTCCCCTATTTTCACAGGAGAAACGTTGGAGGGGATGGAATAGGACGCTCCTATTTTCAGGGGAGAAAAGTTGGAGGGGATGGAATAGGAAGTCCCTATTTTCAGGGAGAAAAGTTGGAGGGGATGGAATAGGAAGTCCCTATTTTCAGGGGAGAAACGTTGGAGGGGATGGAATAGGACGTCCCTATTTTCACAGGAGAAACGTTGGAGGGGATGGAATAGGACGCTCCTATTTTCAGGGGAGAAACGTGGTTCTCTTTTGCGCTGCCCAGGTGACGATGGAGCCCCCCGAAATCTGAACTGCTTGAAGGCCTGCTGCTGCGGGACACCAGAGTGTCGCCCCAAGTGCAGCTGGGAGGCCGGGGGCCGCATGGGGGCCAGCTACGCCCTCCATCTTTGGTGAGCAAAGGGGGCACAAGGGACAAGATATCCAGGGGGAATTTGGACAGCGGAGCGTTGGAGCACTTTATTGGGAGGGTGGAAATAATCATTTCCTTAATAACAATTGCAACAATTTATTTAACTAAAACAACAAGGTTATAACATATGTATCCATGTTTGTTAACTTATGTGGTTAAACAATTTTTTTAAAAAAAAACCCTGAGTTTTAGCACACATGAAAAACTTAAAACAAATCCTTATTTTCTGAGGAATAGCCTTTGGACTATAATGTAACTTAAAGAGAAAATCTTTAGAAAGATTTTCTCTCCGAAAGCATTTTATTTTAAAAATCGATTTGAATTTAAAAAATCGATTTAAATTTTAAAAAACCGGATTTCAAATGTAAAAATCCAAATTAAATTTAACAAAAATTACTTTTAAACAATTCATTGATTTTTATCCACCCTGATTAGGAATTATAGCTTCACCAGTTGGATTTCTGCCTTTCTCAGGCTGCCGACACGCACTCTTTTCCCCTTCCTGTTTGCTGGCTGGTCAAAGATCCGCCCTCTTTCCCCGAAGGTACCCTGACCACCCGCCTGGCGAAAGGCACGCCGCTTTCGAGACCGGGAACGCAACCTCCCTGTTTCTGAAACGGGAGCACGTCTACATGGAGGTGAAGGTCACCGTCTGGGTGGAGAGCCGGGTTGGCGAAGGCCTTCCTCCTCTGCGGTCGAATAACCTCACCCTGGTGATCAACCAAGCCGGTAGGCTGGAAACAGCAAGTGGGATGGGATAGATGACTTTGGGGGTCCCTTCCCAATCAACATCCCTATGTTTCTATGAGCTGGGGATATACAGCATGCAAAAGAGGAGATATGAGCATAGCTGTCAAGGGTCCCTTTTTTGGCGGGACAGTCCCTTATCCCAGCGCTGTGTCCCGCTGCTGTCCCTTATTGATGATGACCCTTAAATTTCCCGGGTTTCAAAGGAAGCAGCTCCTCTCCCTCCCTTCCCCTGCCGGCCAGGGAGGAGGGAGGCTCCAACTGCGTTGCTTGGCTGCGTTGCTCATCCAATAAGGAGTCTAAGAATGACTGGGGGGTGGAGCTTGCATGCCTTGCGCCAATCAAATCGGCCGCGTTCCCTGGGGACTCGCCTTTGCTCAGCGCTTCCCAGCAGAGAGGTGACGGTGGTTTTCCTTGCTGCGTCCCCTTTGCCGGGTTGCTGCGCTGTGGGAACCACCGCTTGAGGCTTCGTTTGGCTGCTGGCTGGGCTTTCTGCCTTTGGCTCGGAGGGGCTCAGAGGTCGAACATACCTGTGCTCTTAAAATCCCTTATTTGGGCTCCTGATCCCTTATTTTCGAGGCTGCTGGTCCCTTATTTTCAAATCTGTAAGTTGACAGCTATGGATATGAGAGCCAAATATCTCACGGGAGAGGGAGTGAGCTTGTTTTCTGCAGCTCCTCCGGAGCGCACGACTCGAACCCGCGACTTTGACCGCCGGAATTTGGATGGGCGACCACGGGTTGAGATTTGGGCATGGCAGAGGGTTGGACTAGATGACTTTAGTGGTCCCTTTCAGCAATTCTGTGATTCTAGGAGCTTTTGCTCTCAGCCTCCACCATCTCATTGCAGTCAGGCTCGAAGCACCCACAAAAATCAAATTTTCAAGGTCAAGAGGCCACATGACCCTAAAGTGGAACGAAACCCACAACTGCTGCGCTTCCTCCCGGGAGAATCAAGTCAGGATGCGGACAGCAGCGCACGCCAACTGGACCGTGGTAAGTTGGCCATTGAGACCAGAAGCCAAGGAGAGGGTGTCTTTAAATTTGGGTTCCGGGATAGAAGAATAATAATATTATGATAATTATTTATACCCTGCCTATTTGGCTGGGCTTCCCCAGCCACTCTGGGCGGCTCGCAACAGAACCTTAAAAACACAATAAAACATCAAACATTAAAAGCTTCCCTAAACAGGGCTGCCTCCAGATGTCTTCTAAAAGTCAGATAGTTGTTTATTTCCTTGACATCTGGTGGGAGGGAGTTCCACAGGGCGGGCGCCACCACCAAGAAGGCCCTCTGCCTGGTTTCCTGCAACCTCGCTTCTCGCAGGGAGGGAACCGCCAGAAGGCCCTCAGGAGATGGACCCAGGTGTCCGGGGTGGAGACGCTCCTTCAGGTCTACTGGGCCATTTAGGGCTTTCAAGGTCAGCACCAACCTTTGAATTGTGCTCGGAAACGTCCTGGGAGCCAATGTAAGTGTTTCAAGACTGGTGTTATGTGGTCTCCACTCCCAGTCCCCAGTCTGGCTGCCGCATTCTGAATTAGTTGCAGTTTCTGGGTCACCTTCAAAGGCAGCCCCACGGAGAGCGCATGGCAGGAGTCCAAGTGGGAGATAACCAGAGCATGGACCACTCTGGCCAGACAGTCTGCGGGCAGGGAGGGTCTCATCCTGCATCCCAGCTGGAGCTGCCCTGGACACAGAACTGACCTGCGCCTCCATGGACAGCTGTGAGTCCAAAATGACCCCCAGGCTGCGCACCTGGTCCTTCAGGGGCACAGTTACCCCATTCAGGACCAGGGAGTCCCCCACACCTGCCCACCTCCTGTCCCCCAAAACAATATTGCCCAAGGTAAGGATGGAAGGGCCTCTCTCAGTCAGCAGAGCAGGAGGCTCCCAGTGCCAGATTTACGTGTAAGCTAATAGATATCTATTCGGTCCATCAATGACCATCTAGCACAGGAATCCCCAAACTCGGCTCTCCAGATGTTTTGGGACCTAGCTAACAGGACCAGTGGTCAGGGATCCCTAGCTAACAGGACCAGAGGTCAGGGATGATGGGAACTGTAGTCCCAAAACATCTGGAGGTCCGAGTTTGCCTACGCCTGATATAGCATATATTCAACCCAAAAAAACAGCGACAATTTGTTGTGGACAAAGGACAGCTGGACATAGAAAGGGCCCCGTTACCTTCAGGAGCTAAGGGCCACATCAAACCGAAATCCGGCCCTGCTCTCTGGTGGTGGGTTTGTGCCCCTTGTTGGGTGAAAGATTCCTGCCCGGCAGCGGGTTGGGATGGATGACCTGGGGGTGACCCTCCTCGTCCAACAATTCTGCGATTCCGGAGCTCTGAGGAATCTGGAGTTGGCTGCCCCGCTGATGCCGCCCCCAGACAGCTGCTTGAAATCTCCCTGTTATGTAAAGGGCACAGGGCGCAAAGGCTGACGCAACCCCCCAGCCAGCTGTTCTGCAGCTGTTGCAAAATAAACGGGGGGGGGGCAGGTTGAGAAATAAATAACCCGGACTTGCAAGCGTCCGATGGCAGCAGCCGGGGCTTCCGCAGAGCTGGGATTACGGCGTCAAATCTAATGGGATCAAGGGGGTTCCTAGCGGGAATTTAAACGCAGACGCCCACATAAGTCTTACGTAAGCTTCCTGCATATGATGCGGATAATAGAATCGTAGCGTCGGGGACACCGGGGGGTCATCCAGCCCAACCCGCTGTCTTGCAGGAAACTCAGATCTGGGGGTGGGCGTTCAGGGTGGCGTTCGTCTCCTGTCCTGTGACTCGGGGGCCACAGCAGAGTCCTGAAAATAAGGATTTGGTGATGCTGGCATCATCATCACCAATTTTTATTTATACCCCACCCTTCCCGGTTTAAAAACCGGGCTCAGGGCGGCTAACAGCAAATATAAAACATTGATTAAAATGTGATTTAAAAACAGCATCAAATCCAGCATCAATCCAGCATCAATGTCAATAAAATTCTAAAATTCAGGGGTCATTTGGAGGAGGGACCCCGGTCCGTAGACATCAAATGATCACTGGCCAAGTTGGTCCTGCTAGGGCCAGCCAGAAGACCAGGAAGAGTTAAATGTGGGGTCCCAGAAAGGGTTTCTTCATAGAAAAGGAAAGGGGGAAAAGGAATAGAGGATCAGGCTAATTCAAATTGGAGGCCAGGCGGAATAGCTCTGTCTTACAGGCCCACCAGGTCGGAGCCATCACCGAAAAAGCCCTGCTGGAGGATAATCTGGCTTCCTTTAGGGCCTGGGACTTTTAAACTATTATTATTCTTCATGGGCCTTAGCCCTTCCTATAATTTCGAAGGAAAAGGTCACCAATCCGGTTTAAATTCTTTCCTTGCCAGCCATTTCTTAGGAAACAGCAAGGAATGTCCATTCCTTGGTTGTGAAAGGAGCCTGACACTGTCTACTCGGAAGTCACTGTTTGGATGGGGGGCTTTTATCCGTTTCCGCAGTCGCACAATCGCACAGTCACAAAAACAAGTTAACCGAAAAAGCCTCCAAAACACAAAATAAATAGCAATAACAAAAGCACCAAATTTTATCCGATCTGGAAGTCCATTTGACTTCAGAAATGTTTGGAAACCGAGGCACGGCTTCTGATTGGTGCAAGTGCCCCAGAAATAATAGCCGACAACCGCATTGGACGTTCGGCTTCTGAAAAACGTTCGAAAACCAGAACACTCACTTCCAGGTTTTGGGCATTTGGGAACCAAACTGTACTCAATTTATTCTACTCCTGCGAATGTTTTAATTCGCAGCCATGATTGTAAATTGAAGCAAACATCCACCGTCCTTTTCTAACTGTCTATCCGTAAGTCCCAAAACAGAAAAAGAGTTCTGGTTTCGGTGGAAAATGCATCACCTTGAAATTCAGGAGAAACTTCCTGATGGGGAGAATAGAAAGTCCATATTTTCTTCGGAGAAATATTGGAGGGGGTGGACTGGGGGGGGGGCAGCAGAGACCCCACCATTCCTGAGCCTAGTCTTGTCTCGCTTTTAGGGGAACTGCAAAACTCAGAAGGAGCACAAAGTCAGGGAAACCATCGCAGGTAAGATTTCTCCGGCGGGCAATTTGGACTCGAGGATGTTTCTTCGTTTTATGTGTCTTCGTTTTTTTACGAAACCGTTTTTATTGGTTTTGCAAATGCAAAGTTACAAATAAACACCAACACCAACAAATTTTACCAAACCGGCCACCGATTCATTCAGATTTAACATCATTTTTACAAAAACGGGTTCCCCGCACTCTGCTCTCAATGCTGGGATTGAGTAAACAGCAACGTGGTTTCTGTTTGCGGTTTGACTCCAGTCTCCGCCGCTTCCTCCAGTCAGGTGCCCCGTGGAAGGGAACGCTCCGTACGAAGTGCAAGTCCGATATCGGACCTCCAGCCCTTACAGCGACTGGAGCGACTGGAGCCCGTCTGTCTTCGTTCCGGCCGGTGAGTTTGCTGCGTCACCCAGCTGTTGTAAGGAAAAAACTGCTCCTTTTTTCCCTTATGGGGTATCCAAAAGCCCCTATAGAGTCCATAAGTGGGTTCCCTATTGGTAGGAGGAAACCAAAGACAACATTAAAGGAAAGAGGGATGAGGAGGGAAGAGGGAAGCAAGCGAGCTCAGGCTCCAAGCCTTCCACTTGTCGTTTCTGCAATCTCCAGATGTACCATATTTTTCGCTCTATAGGACACACCAGACCACAAGACACACCTAGTTTTTGGAGGAGGAAAGCAAGAAAAAAAATATTCTGAATCTCAGAAGCCAGAAGAGCAAGAGGGATCGCTGCGCAGTGAAAGCAGCAATCCCTCTTGCTGTTCTGGCTTCTGGGATAGCTGCACAGCCTGCATTCGCCCCATAAGACGCGCAAACATTTCCCCGTACTTTTTAGGAGGGGAAAAGTGAGTCTTGTAGAGCAAAAAATACAGTAATATCTGGTTATGCAATGTGAGAAATGTGAGGCTGGACTAGGCAGATCTTTCCGACGAGTTATTTAGGAAATAGAGGACACCTTTGCATGGTCTTGTTATAAGAAAAAAAACTGCTCCTTTTCCCTTATGGGGTATCCAAGAGCCCCTATAGCAGAGGTCAGCAAACTTTTTCAGCAGGGGGCCGGTACACTGTCCCTTAGACCTTGTGGGGGGCCAGACTATATATTTTTGTGGGGGGATGAACAAATTCCTATGCCCCACAAATAACCCAGAGACGCATTTTCAATAAAAGGACACATTCTACTCATGTAAAAACACGCTGATTCCTGACCGTCCGAGGGCCGGATTGAGAAGGTGATTGGGCCGGATCCGGCCCCTGGACCTTAGTTTGCCTACCCATGCCCTATAGAGTCCTTGAATCAAAAATCATTTTAAGTTAGAGCTTTGTAATTATTTCGCTGTTAATATACTTCTTAATTATATTTAAGAGACTTCTCCTCTTCAACAATGACTTTGATAAAATGCATATTTCGTGATGTGCAAATGGCTTGAGATATCTATTTGGTCCGTCAATGACCATCTAGCATCTATTCAACACCCAAAAAACGGCGGCAATTTGTTGCGGACAAAGGACAGCTATCCATAGAAAGGGCCCCGTTACCTTCAGGAGCCGAGGGCCGCATCAAACCGAAATCTGGCCCTGGGTAGCAAGGAGCCCAGAAGCATGTGGCGATGCCAATGAAATGTGTTTTGCCCCTTCCAGAACTCCTCAAGAGCCCAAAACTCAGTTGCAGCGCAGAGCCTCTTGGGGAAAACGGCCGGAGGAAGGTGACCCTGGAATGGGAGGTAGGTAAAGGGGGCCGGCCACTTGTGACCGCTGGTTCCCTGACCTCTTCCCCTTTTCCGGGCTAAACATCCCCAGCTCCTTCGACCGTTCCTCATCTGGCGTGGATTCCAGACCCTTGAATCTCACATTCGCCCTCCTCTGCCCACCTTCCAGCTTCTCAGCATCCTTCTTAAATTGTGGTACCCAGAAATGGACACAGGATTCCAGGTGGGGTCTGGCGGTTGGAGGATGGATGGCGGCTAACAGATAGAGGTTGAATCCTGACAAGACAGAAGTCCTGTTTTTTGGGGGGACAGGGTGGGACTCCCTGGTCCTGAATGGGGGCAACTGTACTCTTTGGGTTCAGTCAGTCAACCGGCTACAAATCCGTCGTTCAATGCACATTTTGCCAGCTTCTCTTCAAGAATTTAATGGGGGGATTTCAAGATAATCTATGCCCATGGCTTTCCCCTGATCTGCCACGCTTGTAACTCCATCAAAAAAGAGAGAAATGGCCCCTTTTCTACATGGACTGGGAGCAAGAGCCAATCTCATGACAGCAGCAAGGATGAAAAAAATCAAGTATCCTTTATTAGGCATAGCAAACCACACATGATTAAACAGACACCGTATAGAAATGGAGCTCAGCATAACAAGGTTTGTCCCAGTCGGATCTTTAACTCCAGAGGAAATCAGTTTGCATAAATAATATAACACTACCACATCACTGATCAATTAAGAACCACTCAATCTCTTTATAATGGCCCAGTCTTTCTACACGGACAGCACCCAAAAATCCAGCCACTATTAGAGTAATTTGATCATTCCTGTCCGAAAGCAGCTCCTGAACCGTTTGGTAGTGTAGAATTCAGCCTACTGAGTGGTAAGGCCTCTAATAATTGTCTTCTGGCATAAATGCCAAAATTGCAAGAAAATAAAATACGCTCAGGTTCCTGTTTACTATGTTTGCAGAGACGCTCTGGTTCTGGGAGAGCGAAATATCTTCCTCTCCCTATCAGCGAGGGAAACATGTTAAATCTGGCTAACATAAACAGCTTGTTTTTCATCCTGCGTTTCCGGCCCGCCCCGCAGGGACGTTGTGGCAAAATATCTGGCCCATAACCCTGACTTTCCTCTGTTGCAGAAGCCCAGCCGGGAACAAGGGGAGGTGAGCTACGACTTGACGTTTGCCCTGCTTCCCTGCTTCTGCCTGGACGAACCGGAGACCATATTTGAGAAGATAAACGCGACTTCCTTCCAAACCTTTCTGTTGGGGGCCGAGTACAACATCTCCCTGCAAGCCGACAATGGGGCCAGCCGGTCCCCGGCCTCCTTTTGCAGGCTCCCAGCGGAGCAAGACGCAGGTTTGTCCCTGAAAACCAGAGGGCTACTGTCTGCAGCACGCGAGGAGAAAGGAACAGGGAGGGATGAGGAAGAAAGCAAACCCAGCTGCCCGTTCTTAAACCCCACAGGGTATCCCTAGAGGGGAACTGGAGGTGCCAATGGCTCTTTGGAAAGCTGGTGCCACCGATTCGAGTCCATCAGTTTTGAAAAAAATGTGCAATTAATTAATCGCCCCTTATCGACACCATTGTCTTGCTTTTATTACTATTAATTTTTATTAGTAACAATAATAATCGTTTATTATTTATACCCCGCCCATCTGCGCGGGCTTCCCCAGCCACTCTGGGCGGCTTCCAACCCAATATTAAAATACAGTAACACATCAAACATTAAACAGGGCTGCCTTCAGATGTCTTCTAAAAGTTTCTATTAGGTTTTTAACAAGTTTACTTTATATGCAATATATCGTTCACTTATATTTTTTTGGATTTCCCACCTCTCTCCCACCTCTCTCGCACTGATGTTTTTTGTCGTTTTCCTTAATTGCTGCATGTTCCTTGTTCCGTAACTCCATCCTAATATCATTTCTGTATTTCCTCCACTGTTCGTATCTCAGCTCGTCATTATCTTCATTGCAAAGAATAATTCTGAATAATGTTTTTTTTAATAGGGTAGTTTGGGCTGGAGGTGGGTTTACTGAACAGGCAGCGACCCCGGAAAAATTGGGAACTTCTGATTTTGTGTCTCCTGTTTTGTGCGGGTCGTTGTTGTCGCTTAACGATTCGTAATATAATTCTTATCCGGAATAAAACCATTTCCCCCAGGGAACCTTTAAGGCAACGCCTGCTAAAATTAAGGGATCGCTGCTAGAACTTGCGCGGCGATTGAATCAGGCAGCTGTCAGTCTTCGCTTCACGGCGGACGGAATTGCAGAGGCAAAAGCTTCGCCCGGCAAAACGGGGATTGCGGGTGATTGGCAGCCGACCCATGTTCCCAAACCGCCAGGGTTGCGGGAGGTCAGGATCTGACCCGTGGCCACCCACCGCCGTCACCCCTGACCATTGGCACGACTCGGGGGCATTCTGGCCAGCCGCAGCGAGAGCCGGTTCTTACAGAGCCTCCAGCTGCAGGAGCAGTCTACCGCGATTCCTAGGTTTCTATCGGTTATTTGGCCCCTGTGAGAGTGCAGGGTGCTGGGCTGGCCTGATCCAGCTGCCGGCTCTTCTTAAGTTCTTACATCTTTGCTGTTTTGCTTTCCTGTTCCAGGAACCAGACCCAGAGGGGACAATCGCCTCCCGTCGTCTGGTTCCTCTGCCCGTTTCTGACCCCGTCTCAAGGCTCCATCCTCTGCCCCATCTCTTTTAAATCAGAACCGGTGAAGGTCCGGTGTGAGTGTCTGGAGGCAATTGAAGGATGGATGGCAATGTAATGGATTGAGGTTGAATCCTGACAAGACAGAAGGACCGCTTATGGGGAAAAGGGGGTGGGGGACTCACTGGTCCTGAATGGGGTAACTGTGCCCCCAAAGGACCAGGTGCGCTGCCTTGGGGTCATTTTGGACTCACCGCTGTCCATGGAGGCGCAGGTCAGTTCTGTGTCCAGGGCAGCTACATCTGGGACGCAGGATGAGACCCTCCCTGCCTGCAGACTGTCTGGCCAGAGTGGTACATGCTCTGGTTATCTCCCGCTTGGACTACTGCCATGTGCTCTCCGTGGGGCTGCCTTGGAAGGTGACCTGGAAACTGCAACTAATTCAGAATTAGTTGAAGACTGGGGACTGGGAGTGGAGACCATATAACACCGGTCCTGAAAGACCTACATTGGCTCCCAGGATGTTTCCAAACACAATTCAAAGTTTTGGTGCAGACCTTGAAAGCCCTAAACGGCCCAGTATCCCTGAAGGAGTGTCTCCACCCCGGACACCGGGGTCCATCTCCCGAGGGCCTTCTGGCGGTTCCCTCCCTGCAAGATTACAGGGAACCAGGCAGAGGGCCTTCTTGGTGGTGGCTCCCACCCTGTGGAAAACCTTCTGTCAGATGCCAAAGAAATAAACAACTACCTGACTTTTAGAAGACATCTGAAGGCAGCCCAGTTTAGGGAAGTTTTCTATGTTTGATGTTTTATCGTGTTTTTAAGGTTCTATTTGGAGACGCCCAGAGTGGCTGGGGTATAATTATTATTATTAATATTAATATTATTATTATTCTGACCCCAGTAGGTCCCACATTCCAGGGGGTCATCCAGTCTGGCAGGAACTTCTCAGTGACTTGGGGGACGAAGCACGAGGTCATCTGCTTCGAAAAGGACCCAGGAAGGTCCTGCGAGGACGACGACATTCAAGAGGTCAACGAGACCAGCTGGTCAGGCAGGTTCGCTTCCATTGGTCTCTGATTTGCGTTTCTTTGGAAAAATAAGAACAGATAAACCACCGCACAAACTCTCAAAACCACAAATGGCTTTCATCCGATGTAAAAATCGATCTGAATGATGCTAAATGATGGGGAAAGAGGCTAGGTACGGCTTCCTTTTTCTTTAATGGAGTTCCTGCTCCATGCTTAGCAGGCTGGTTGTTTAGCAGAATCAATATCCTTTTTCAATATCCTTTTCCAAAACCCTCTCAGCTGTTTATATAAAGTATAAAAGCAAATGTTGAAATGATCGCTGAAAAGGCAGGAGTTTAGAACAAGCAGAAATCTGAACTGCTTCTTCTTTTTATTTTTTTAAAGAATATATACATGCAACAAAAAACAATTCAAAATGCAAATATTGAGATCACTCTGAACCTTCCGACTCTGCCCCCCTTCCTTTCCATGGGTCCTAAATGATAATATTTACAACTGCATATCAATACTTCATTCTGAATTATCCGTCACTTTACAAGTGTGGTTAAAATCCTGCTAACGTTTCAACCTGCGGTCTCGTAGATAAATTAATAAACTTTTCCCGTTCCTGCTTAATGTTCTCTTCTTCTTGATTTCTGAGCTTCCCGGTTAATTTTGACATGGAAAGCTGAACTTCTGAGCAAAGAGCATCCCATAATAGCCATTCTCAGATTAAAACGCATGTCCGTTTTCACATGTCTGGACTGCTGTGTCTAAATGAAAATTTTAAAAAAGGGGTTCAAGCCTAAAATAGGACAGTATAAAAGTCAAGCCAGCCCCGGTTTTCCTTTTGCAAAGCTGTTTTGCAAAGAGCCGGAATAAATGTGTTTCATAAGATGAGTCCGACTCCGTCAGAAGATGTCAGCGTCACAGAGAAATTGAGGGGAACTGATTCCCGGGAAGTTCTGCAAAGGGAGTGCAGTGACCCTGCTGAGTCTGCTAAATGGAGTATTATGGGATGCTGCTCATAGCTAGCTGTGGGGATTAACAGAGTGCCATCCTTGGGCACTGATTCTGCAGGACTGATTCCCCTAAAATGGGAGCATTTAGGGATATTATTATTATTATTATTATTATTATTATTATTATTATTATTACCAAGGTCCCTTGGTTCTCAAACTTCATCCGTTCCAAAACCAAAGCGTTCCAAAACCAAGGCGCACTGCTTTCCCATCGCAAGTCATGCAAAATGGATTAATCCCTTCCAGACTTTTAAAAACAGCCATCGGACGTGAATTTTACTGTCCAGCGAGACCATCAATCCACAAAACGAAAGCAACCACCAATGCGCTGTAGTATAAAATAAATAAGGCAGCATTGTAGAGGATGAAAATTAAAATGAATGTTTTTTTATTCGCTTCACTGATGATGGTCGTTGTTTGGATGGGGGTGCTTTTATCCATTTCCGCAGTCGCACAAGATTATTGGCTCTACCGATATTCTCCGAATCTCTGACTGTGTCCTCCTTTTTCAGGGGTCCTGGAGTCCGACGTCTGCACCCGCTTGGCGGTCCACGGATGGGACCCGGACGAAAACACCTGGTCGACGCTGGGCCTCGTGCGCCTCTTCCACAGAAGCGGTGCGTCTATCTGCTTTGCCTCAAGCTCTCACGGTCCAGTCTAGGGGCGATCAAAGTCTGCGTTTAAAGGCAATTTGTTCCTTCCTCTCACCCTACAAAATGCTTTAAGGGACCCCTGACCATTAGGTCCAGTCGGGGCCGACTCTGGGGTTGCGGCGCTCATCTCGCTTTACTGACCGAGGGAGCCGGTGTACAGCTTCTGGGTCATGTGGCCAGCAGGACTAAGCCGCTTCTGGCGAACCAGAGCAGTGCATGGAAACGCCGTTTACCTTCCTGCCGGAGCGGTACCTATTTATCTACTTGCACTTTGACGTGCTTTCAAACTGCTAGGTTGGCAGGAGCAGGGACCGAGCAACGGGAGCTCACCCCGTCATTGCGGGATTCGAACCGCTGACCTTCTGACCGGCAAGTCCTAGGCTCTGTGGTTTAACCCACAGCACCACCCGCGTCCCTGACCAAAATGCTTTACTGATGTTAAAAAGATATGACAGACCAATGTATATACAATCAAAACAGAAATACAGAAAGAAAACCACGTTCTCCGTGCTTCTTCAATTCCCAGCGACTTCCCTCCACGCCAGCCTGCATTTACTGCTTGTTTTATTTGGCGAATTTTCTTTGCAAACTCCTTTAATATCCCCTCTTATAATTACCCGTCGTATCACAGCAGTCATGCAAGTCCTGCCCACTGACTTTATGTCGGTACAATAACCTTTTAATCATTTTCTTATACATATCCCATTTTTGAAGTTTGTAGAAGTCTTCGACGCAATCGTAGAAGGGGAGCCCCATCAATATTTCCCCCGATTCATCGGAATTGGTCTTTTGGCCGTGGTCAGGGCGCGAAGAGCCCATGGGGAATTATTGTATTTTAATATTTTGTTGGAAGCTGCCTAGAGTGGCTGGGGAAACCCAGCCAGATGGGTGGGGTATAAATAATATATTATTATTATTATTATTATCCTTTTGTAAGAGGTTCCATCCTGCCCTCTTTATCCCACCCTCCCCTGAGTCCCTCTTCCCTCTTCCCCTATCTTTTAGAGCCTTCCGAAGACCCCGTGCGCCCAGATGTGGCCATGCCAACGCCCACCTCCGCCGACATCCGCTGGCACCCCCCTGCCCTCCTCGCCGGCTGCCCCGGTGTGTTCCAGAAATACGTCCTCTGCTGGCACGACGAGCGAGGCGAGGAGATAGCCAGTGAGTTTGGTCATGGAGGGAGACCCGGGTGCGAAACGCGTCCGGTGTGCGTGGAGCGTCGCCAAGCTGCAAGATAGGGGGTGCCCAAAGGGGGTGGCAAAGGGGGCAGGTTAAGAGGCAAGGGGGTGGCATCTGTCATGGGTACTTCGATTCCTGCATTGCAGTGGGTTGGGCTAGATGACCCCATGGGGTCCCTCCCGACTCTCCAGTGTGTAAACCAGACTTTGGATCAAGTTCACCTGTTTGGTCGCACCGATTAAACCAAACTGTTTTAACTGGGGTTGTTTTTCTTTTTGTTGCTAAGTAATTTTTATTACTTTCCAATTACAAATATCCAATATGCGCCATATTATATTAGCCAATTCAAATGCATAGCCAATTCTAAATTTTGTGACGTGCTTCCTTTTAATTCAGCCTCCAGACTGTTGCAGAAAACCAAATACATTCTCGATAGAATCCCTTATAATGCAGCTACAATAATTAACTTTAATTCACATTAAGACATATAATAATTTGTAAATTCGCAAGTGAAGTTCTCCTATCTTCTCCCTGGGTGAGGCTTTGATTTCCGTCAATTGCTCCTTTAATTCTTTATCAAATACAGTGGTCCCTTGGTTCTCAAACGCCTTGGTATTCAAACAACTTGGAACCCAAACACTGCAAACCCGGAAGCAAGTGTTCCGGTTTGCAACCTATTTTCGGAAGCCGGACGTGCTCCGTTTTAAGTGTTACGCTGAGGTCTGTTTTTGCTATTTATTTTGCTGTTTTTGCGGCTCCTTTTTTCAACCGATATTAGCATTTTTCGTATATTATAACCTTCGTTTTGGGTTGAATCCCTTTTCAGTTTATTGTACTGTTGACTTCCTCTTCCCACTTTCTATATAAACCATTATTTTCATTTTCCCGCCCGTAGCTTACGAGGTCAGTGCCTCCGAGACCCGCTTCACCATCTCAGACCTGCAGCCCAACACCACTTACCGGGTCGGAGTCGAGGTTTTGACCGCCGGGAGCGATGGCCGCTGCCGAAACCTCGTCGCCTTTCGAACCCGCCCTGCAGGTGCGTCACGTCTCTGCAACCCCCCTGTGAAATGTCTCCTCTTTGGGTGCCGGTGATAGACTGTCCTCTTCTTCTTCCTCCTCCTCCTCCTCCTTCCTGCTCTTCCTCCCCTAACTCTAATCTCAAGGCCAAGGGTTCAAGCAACAGAGGGTTGGGCTAGATGACCACATGGGGTCCCTTCCTAGGATTTTGTGTTTTTTAATAATTCTTCCTCTGCCAGATTCCAAGAAGACGACTCTGACGCTCAGCTTCCTCCTTCTGGGTCTCGTCGGAGGGTCCTGGTTGCCGCCAGCGCCGTCCACATTTGCAAAAAGAGGTGGGGTTGCAGGAAAAGCTTGAAAAATATATTGGGGGGGCTTTCCTGGCAAGATAGACGCCGCATGCATTTTCCCCCAGTTTCCAAATCTCCCCAAATCAGGGGTGCTTAAAAGCTGCGCCGCGATTTCAAAAAATAGTATTTTAGTTCCGTGCATGAAATCTGGCTTTGTTTGGTAATCTGTAGTTCTTTTTTGCTGAGAAAAATAATGTTTGGGGGTCCTCTCATTTTGAAAAATCACCATTTTATAGTTCAAATTGGGGGGGGGATAAATACAGCAAATGGACAAAAAGGCAAAGATTCGCAAAATGTTTAGGGGTATGCGGACCCACCAGGAAAAAAGGCACTGGTAAGATGTGAGCAAAATTGCTCCGAAATCAGGGGGGGAAACCAACATTGCGGTGATGTTAATATTTGCCGTTCTTATTATTCAGCCTTTGCAGAAATCAAAATCCTGGGGTTTTTCCCTACGGCGGTTTCTGTGCTTCTTTGCCTGGCAAGAGAAATAACAAGCCCCTGAAATAAAAGCAGATTTGAATCCCTTACACGCCCCAAAACATATTTCTAAGATGCCTCACTGAAGGAATTTGCTAAAAAAATAATAATCTCGCCCCCTAAAACGACACCCCCTGGCGCTGCTGTTCCTAAGCCCTGGGAGTGGCACCACCTCTGCATATAGGCAAACCGGCCTGTTTCAACTTTGCTGTTAACCTGCGGAACTCCCTGCCACAAGGGGCCGCCAACCTTGAATAGCTTCGAAAAAGGACCGGGCCAATTCATGGAGGAGGAAAGGGCTAAGCATGATTATTATAGCCAGGATGGCTGTGTGTTCTCCTCCTCCGTCGGAGGCAGTAAACACTTCCGGATCCTAGTCGCCGGAAAACAGAGAGCATCGGTCCTGTGTTCGAAACCTGAATGCCGGTTTCCCGAAACACTTTTTACTAAAAAAGGATCCCCTTTGGTTATTCTTACGTCCTGATGGAGCCTCCAGCTCCAGGCGCAGTCTATCTGGATGCAGAGCTCCGCTTTCCTGCAAAGGGCAAAGCTCCAGAAAAATCTCTTTCCTCCTTCTTCCCTCTCCTGCCACAGGGTGAAGGAAGTTCTGTGCCCGCCCTTGCCAGACCCGGCCGACACGGAAGCCGTCAAGATCCTCGCCGGATCGGAGCCAGGGCAGGTGAGTCTCTGTGAAATGGGTTCAAACTGAATGGGAATGGGCAGATGAGCTCTTGATGGCTGAGGCTCTCTCTCTCTGCCCTCTGGGATGAGACGCCCGCCTGGGTCAGGAGAGCCTCGACGGCTCTGGAGAGGGGACACGGGTGTAGGAAACAGCTGTGGGCAGCGGCAGGGGGGTGCGATCGCCCCGCGTGTCATGCCTAGGAGGGGTGACAAAATCCCCCCGGGTGGATCGGCGTGGCAGCACTAGCAAACCTGGGTGGATTTTCACGATTGGCGTGATTGTCGTCGTGAAAATCTGCCCACTGCTTGGGCAAATCCGCCTGGCGATCAGCCTGGCACCCCCCACCGGCAGACAGCTTTTGCACCCCCTCGGTGGGCGATACTTGCATCCCTGGCGCACGGTTTTATGCGACTGGCGCGGGCGCCGTTGTGAAAAACTGCCCGCCGATTGCCCAATTTGCATGATCGCCAGCCAGATTTGCACGTATCTTTTTCGCAGGCAAAAAAGAAAAGCTCAGTAACTCTGGTCAACGTTCCTGAAAATTGCAATGTGTGTGGGGTGTGTGACAAAAATAAATTCGCACCCGGTACTTACTGACCTCACTACGCCTCTGGGCAAGGGTGCAATTTACGCCCGGCTCACCCCGAACCCCATTCTTCTTCTCCACAGGTGTACCCACAGCGGAGCTTTGTGCAGCCCCTGGAATCCAGCAGCCCCACGGAACGCCTCGTTCTCGAACCCAGGTCTCCGTCCAAAGAGGACCCGGCCGTTGGCACCGCAGCAGACTTTCCGGCCCTGGCCAACCCCGCCGAAGAGACCCTCTTGCCCAAGGAGGACCAGCCGGGCTCGGGGAGCCTCCTGCCCTCCGAGTACAAGAGCCAGGGGTTTCTGAGCCCCATGGAGGACGAGCGGCAAGGCAGGGGGGCTGGACGACTGCAATGAGGCGGGCACCGCCAGCACCCCCGAAATGGTGCGGTCAGTGCCGCCAGGGGGCAAGATGGCAATAAGGGGGCAGAGGGAAGGGGCTGTTCTTCGTCGCTTCTCATGCCCCCCATGTCCAGGGGGGCAGGAAACGAGGGAAGCGCTTTGGGGAAGGTTTGCGCCCAGTGGGAAAGGAAGAGGCCGAGGCAAAGTGGTCGGAATCGAGGATTTTGAGTCAGTAATAAACGCTGGAAATGTAAAGAGAAAGAGGGAACATTTTATCACATGTGGTGGGAATGTAAAAAGGTGAAATGCTTCTGGGAGATGATATAGAATGAGATGAAAAAAATGTTGAAATATACATTTATAAAGAAACCAGAAGCATTTTTACTGGGCATTGTGGGGAGTGATATAAATCGAAAGGAATGTCAGCTCTTTTTATATGCAATAACAGCAGCAAGAATATTATTGGCCCAAAAATGGAAGCAAGAAGAATTACCGACGATTGAAAAATGGAGGATGAAGTTAATTGACTATGCAGAACTAGATAAACTAACAGGAAGGATTCGAAATCGGCAGAACCAGAAATTCACGGAAGACTGGAGTAAATTTACGGACTATTTGAAAAGTATTTGTGAAGATCAGACGACGTTTGTAGGGTTGCAAGAAGTTCTGTGAGGAGTATTATTGAAAGTATTTCAAAAATGGAGAAGGGGAAGGATGATTTGTTAAGAGATGTAAAGGCAATATAAAGCTAAGAAATGCACAAAAAGTGGTTAAAGCGGTGGATCATCAGAGGTGCTGATGGAAGTCTAAAAAGATTGTATAAGTGATAAGTTTTGTGGTACATTTTATAATTTATATGTTAAAATCAATAAAAAAATAAAAATCAATTAAAAATTATTAGGATTTTGACCCCGTTCTGCTGTCATGGGAAAATGCCCTACGGTCCGTTGCCAGAGGCAGCGGTGGCATAGCGGTTAGAGCGCCGCGTCCTGGGTTCGAATCCTCGCTCTGGCACAGAACTCTGCCCTTTATCCAGAACCACGAGGACTGGCACCTTGTGTTCTTTTTCAGGGCGGCAAGAGGGTGCGTCGAAGCAGTGCGGCGGAGCGGTTAGCGCGTCAGGCTAGGACCCGGGTTCAAATCTTGCAGTGTGAGCTCAGGGACCGGTCGGCGTCTCCCTCGGCTTAACTTCGCAGGGTTGTTTTTGGGGGGTCGAAGGAGGAAGGCGGGGAGAAGCCTACCTGCCAACTTTGGGAGGAAAAGGTAGAATTGAGACACGATAGGTTTTTACAGAATATATCTACCCTTTTCATAGCTCTGTGGCCTCTCTACCCCATTCCTACCTCTGAGACCCCTCTACTCTCTTCATAGCTCTGTGGCCCCTCTATCCCTTTCCTAACTCTGAGGCCCCTCCACCATCTTCATAGCTCTGTGCCCCCTCTATCCCTTTCCTGCCTCTGAGACCCCCTCTACCCTCTTCATAGCTCTGTGGCCCCTCTACCCCTTTCCTGCCTCTGAGACCCCTCTACCCCTTTCCTACCTCTGAGACCCCTCTACCCTCTTCATAGCTCTGTGGCCACTCTGCCCCTTTCCTGCCTCTGAGACCCCTCTACCCCTTTTCCTAGCTCTGTGGCCCCTCTACCCCTATTCTACTTCTGAGACCCCTCTACCCTTTTCATAGCTCTGTGGTCCCCTCTTCCCCCTATTCCGCCCCCTGAGGCCCCTCTACGCTCTTCATAGCTCTGTGGCCCCTCTAACCCTTTCGACCTCTAAGACCCCTCTACCCTTTTCATAGCTCTGTGGCTCCTCTAACCCCTTTCCTGCCTCTGAGACCCCTCTACCCTCTTCATAGCTCTATGGCCCCTCTAACCCTTTCGACCTCTAAGACCCCTCTACCCTTTTCATAGCTCTGTGGCCCCTCTAACCCTTTCCCACCCCTGAGACCCCTCTATATTTTCATAGCTCTGTGGCCCCTCTACCCCTATTCTACCCCCCCCGAGACCCCTCTACCCTTTTCATAGCTCTGTGGTCCCCTCTTCCCCCTATTCTACCTCTGAGACCCCTCTACCCTTTTCATAGCTCTGTGGTCCCCTCTTCCCCCCTATTCCGCCCCCTGAGGCCCCTCTACACTTTTCCTAGCTCTATAGCCACTCTTCCCCCCCCCCGAGGCCCCTCTACCCTTCTCCCAGCTCTATGGCCACTCTGCCCCCCCAGGCCCCTCTACCTTTCTCCCTAGCTCTATGGCCACTGTGCCCCCCCCCGAGGCCCCTCTACACTTCTCCTAGCTCTATGGCCACGCTACCCCCCCAGGCCCCTCTACACTTCTCCTAGCTCTATGGCCTCTCCGCCCCACCCCCCGTGGCCCGTCTAGCCTTCTCCTAGCTCTATGGCCACGCTGCCCCCCAGGCTAGGAGAAGCGTAGAGGGGCCTCGGGGGGGGGGGGCAGCGTGGCCATAGAGCTAGGAGAAGCGTAGAGGGGCCTCGGGGGGGGGGGCAGCGTGGCCATAGAGCTAGGAGAAGCGTAGAGGGGCCTCGGGGGGGGGGCAGCGTGGCCATAGAGCTAGGAGAAGCGTAGAGGGGCCTCGGGGGGGGGGCAGCGTGGCCATAGAGCTAGGAGAAGGGTAGAGGGGCCTCGGGGGTGGGGCGGAGAGGCCATAGAGCTAGGAGAAGGGTAGACGGGCCTCGGGGGGGGCAGCGTGGCCATAGAGCTAGGAGAAGGGTAGACGGGCCTCGGGGGGGGGCAGCGTGGCCATAGAGCTAGGAGAAGGGTAGACGGGCCTCGGGGGGGCAGCGTGGCCATAGAGCTAGGAGAAGGGTAGACGGGCCTCGGGGGGGGGCAGCGTGGCCATAGAGCTAGGAGAAGGCTAGACGGGCCTCGGGGGTGGGGCGGAGAGGCCATAGAGCTAGGAGAAGCGTAGCGGGGCCTTGGGGGGGGCAGCGTGGCCATAGAGCTAGGAGAAGGGTAGAGGGGCCTCGGGGGGGGGGCAGCGTGGCCATAGAGCTAGGAGAAGGGTAGACGGGCCTCGGGGGGGTAGAGTGGCCATAGAGCTAGGAGAAGGGTAGAGGGGCCTCGGAGCAGAGGAGCCACAGAGCTAGGGAATTTCTAGAGGGGACTCAGGGGTAGGAACGGGGTAGAGGGGCCACAGAGCTATGAAAAGTGTAGAGGGGTTTCAGAGGTATAATAGGGTTAGAGTGGCCACAGAGCTAGGAAAAGGGTAGAGGGGTCTCAGATGTAGGAACGGGGCAGAGGGGCCACAGAGCTCTACCCCTTTCCTACCTCTGAGACCCCTCTACCCTTTTCATAGTTCTGTGGCCCCTCTGCCCCTTTGCTACCTCTGAGACCCCTCTAGACCTTTCATAGCTCTTTCATAGATTAAATCAATAGATTAAATCAATAGATTTTAAATCAATAGATTAAATCAATAGATTTAAATCAATAGATTAAATTAAATAAACAGATTAAATCAACCGATGGATTAAACCCTTCAATGGATTAAACCCTTCGCTCTTTCCACTCCGACAACCCCTAAAAGAAAGGCTCCGTCGGGTGACCCCCCCCCGTTACTTCCCTATGACCTCACCATTTCCCCCTATGACCTCACCACCCTTCCTATGACCTCACAATCCAGGAAGCCATATTCCGTCCCGGGACGCCTTTGAGCCCTCGGAAAACCCTTGCAAAACAGCGCTTCTTGCGTGCCCCAAAGAGTGCTTTAAAAGGGGGTGCCGCACCCCACTTTTTTATAAAGCAATGCATATAGGGAATGTGGAAGATTTGGGGGCGCACCAGAGCTTGTGAACCCAAATCGACGGTGCCCGGACCCCGGGTTCCGATTTCCCGCAGACCCCTGGCACATTTACGCCCTCCGAGAAGATGGTGCCCCTTTGCTGGTGCCCGGGGGACCCCCGGACGGCGCCCCCCAACCCAGGCCGCGTCACGGAGGTCCGCAAGGTGCCCAGGACCCCCTCTCGCCTGGCCAGCACCCCTTTCCTGCAAGCCTCGCACTTCCAGCTGGGCGGCGACCGTCGCCCAGAAGGTGCCACCCTGGTCTCGCCCTACCGCATCGACTACCCGCCGCGGTGGGGCAGCTTCCGCAGCCAGGCCATCCGGCCCCCCAAGTGCGCGGGGGTCCTGAACCAGGACATGGACCCCTCCACCTGGGACACCCGCTCAGAGACGTACCTCTCGTACCCACCCCGGGGGCTGGAGGCGAAGGTGCCCGCCCGGCCGCCCTCGCCCCACCTGCAGATGCACCGAGACCTTCGCCAGGGCACCGGCACCTCCGTCACCCGGGACAGCTACCCCTACCCGCCCCCCCTGCCCCACGACGCCCCCCGGCGGGTGGACAAGTGGGACGACAGCGTGCCCAGCGGCGACAAGGACAAGCAGCCGCTGCCCGCCTCGCTCTACCAGGAATCGTACCCCAGCCACGGGAGGACGGAGCCGGCCCAAAAGGCGCCCAGTCAACACCTGGGTGCGTTGGCACGGGGGCACCCGGTGCTTTGGGGTGCCCGGGGGGGAGTGGGGCTGGGGAGGAGCGCCCACGGTGGGTGGGTGGCTGGGTTTGGGGACGAGGCATTGGAAAGGCCTCCCTGTGGGGGACTCCCTGGTCCTGAATGGGGTGACTGTGCCCCTGAAGGACCAGGTGCGCAGCCTGGGGGTCATTCTGGACTCCCAGCTGTCCATGGAGGCGCAGGTCAGTTCTGTGTCCAGGGCAGCTCCATCTGGTACGCAGGATGAGACCCTCCCTGCCAATGGACTATCTGGCCAGAGTGGTGCATGCTCTGGTTATCTCCCGCTTGGACTACTGCCATGCGCTCTCCGTGGGGCTGCCTTTGAAGGTGACCCGGAAACTGCAACTAATCCAGAATGCGGCAGCCAGACTGGGGACTGGGAGTGGAGACCACATAACACCGGTCCTGAAAGACCTACATTGGCTCCCAGTACGTTTCTGAGCACATTTCAAAGTGTTGGTGCTGACCTTGAAAGCCCTAAATGGCCTTGGTCCAGTATACCTGAAGGAGTGTCTCCACCCCCATTGTTCAGTCTGGACACTGAGGTCCAGTGCCGAGGGCCTTCTGGCGGTTCCCTCACTGCGAGAAGTGAGGTTACAGGGAACCAGGCAGAGGGCCTTCTCAGTGGTGGCGCCCGCCCTGTGGAACTCCCTCCCACCAGATGCCAAGGAGATAAAGAACTACCTGACTTTTAGAAGACATCTGAATGGGGTCACTGTGCCCCCGAAGGACCAGGTGCGCAGCCTAGGGGTCATTTTGGACTCCCAGCTGTCCATGGAGGCGCAGGTCAATTCTGTGTCCAGGGCAGCTGTTTACCAGCTCCATCTGAGACCCTCCCTGCCTGCAGACTGTCTCGCCAGAGTGGTGCATGCTCTGGTTATCTCCCGCTTGGACTGCTGCAATGCGCTCTATGTGGGGCTGCCTTTGAAGGTGACCCGGAAACTACAACTAATCCAGAACTGGTGACTGGGAGCGGCCGCCGAGACCACATAACACCAGTCCTGAAAGACCTACATTGGCTCCCAGGACGTTTCCAAGCACAATTCAAAGTGTTGGTGCTGACCTTGAAAACCCTAAACGGCCCAGTAGACCTGAAGGAGCATCTCCACCCCGGACACCTGGGTCCATCTCCCAAGGGCCTTCTGGCGGTTCCCTCCCTGCGAGAAGCCAAGTTACAGGGAAGCAGGCAGAGGGACTTCTCAGTGGTGGCGCCCGCCCTGTGGAACGCCCTCCCACCAGATGCCAAGGAGATAAAGAACTACCTGACTTTTAGAAGACATCTGAAGGCAGCCCTGTTTAGGGAAGCTTTTAATGTTTAATACGTTACTGGTGTTTTAGTGTTTGCTGGAAGCCGCCCAGAGTTAGTATTGTTATTATTATATTCTTTCCGAGTTCACCCGTGGAACTTCCTGCCACTGGACGCCAACTTGGATGCCTTTAGAATCGGGGGGAATTCAGGGAGGAGATCGAATCCAAATCGACAGAAGCCGTCCCAGAGTCTGATCCCCGTTTGGGCTCCCCAAAGGCGCAGAGTGTGGAGCCCCCAAAATGGGCCTGTTCAGGACCAAAAAACAGAAGGAAAGGCTGAGGGCTCTTGGGTGCGAATCCTGCTCACTCTCGCTGGACTGGATGAGCCACTGGGCTGGTCTTCTGGAGAGGCAGGGCAGCGTCACAGTTGGAGACGCGGGTTCGAATCCCACGGGACGCAGGGATGGCCGCCAACTTGGATGCCTTTAGAATTGGGGGAAATTTGAGGAGAAGACAGACCTCCCTGTAGAACTGGGGGGAAACTGGGGAAGAGACAAACCCCCTTTAGAATGAGGACACGTTTGATGCTTCTCTCAGGAAGGGTGAGGGCTCTTGGGTGCGAATCTCGCTCACCCCTGGAAGGAAGACATGATCAATACAAAACCCTTCGGTTCTTCCAACGGCGTTTTGAGAGTTCACTTCACATTAAACAGCTTTTAACTGAGATCAGTTGTCTATTTTAAAGCCATTTTTAATAAGAATTCTGGCTTCCGAAAGCCACCTAAGGTGGAATGCCTCCCTCCATGGAAGCTCTGCTTAGGAACCACAAGGCAATTTTTAATTTTTAAATTTGATATAATGACTTTGAACGTCTTTTAAAAGCTCCTGTCGTTTCCCCCAAACTCTCTCGCTTCCACGTATGAAGAAAACCGCCTCCTTCTTCCTTGGCAGGAGGAAAATCTCCCCTGAGAGGCCACGGCTGCCACGATTTCGGGACCACGTACCAGACTTACTACACTGGGCAATGGGCGCCGCCTGCCGAAAAACACTTCGACGAGGTAAAGCCACCGGGACCCTGAAAAAACCGGCTGCCCCGGGCAGCGTGGGGTAGTGGTTAGGGTGCTGGGAGGCCTGGGTTCGAATTACCACTTGGTGGCGATCCGATTTGGCATCCCTTTGGTGGGAAAAAATGGGGCTATAACTCACAGAATCGCAGAGTTCGAAGGGCTCCCAAAGGTCCTGTAGTCCAGCCCCTGCAAGGCCAGAAGCGGATCCATGAATAGGGCAGAAAACGAGGCTTTTCGTCTTGGGGTTGCGGGTTTGAGTCCCACGCCACTGGGCAAAAGATTCCTGCATTGCAGGGGGTTGGGATGGATGACCTCCCGGGGTCCCTTCCAACTCTGCGATTCTACAATTCAATTGCAGTTGTTAATGAACTGGCAACTAATTCTGATTTTTAAAATTATTATTATTCTATGATTCCTGCATTTCAGGTGCTTGGAGTTCAGTGACATTTTTTAAAAAAAGGTTTTCATAGGTTGCGCGTCCCTGTTCCTCAATTTGATCCTTTTACGCGGTTTTGGGGCCTTTTCTGTGCTGTCGTTTTGGCCGGTTGTAGTTTAGCGATTGTAAACTCTTCAATTACAGCGTGTTGATATTTAGCTTTGCTGTCTAACGGATTGAATATTGCTTTGTTTGGTACAAGTTTCTCCTTTTAAAGTCAGCGCGACGTTTTTGTATTGCTGTTTTGCTGTGGTTTTTTATATGTCTTCGAAGCCACCCAGAGCAGCAGGGACAACCCAGCCAGATGGGGAGGGTAAAAAGAAATATTAAAAATATTATTATGGATGACACTTGTGGTCCCTTCTGTGATGCTGTCTCCCAGCTCCACCTGGTACGCAGGATGAGACCCTCCCTGCCCGCGGTCTGTCTGGCCAGAGTGGCGCATGCTCTGGTTATCTCCCGCTTGGACTACTGCCATGCGCTCTATGTGGGGCTGCCTTGGAAGGTGACCCAGAAACTGCAATTAATCCAGAATGGGGCAGCCAGACTGGGGACTGGGAGTGGAGACCATATAACACCGGTCCTGAAAGACCTACATTGGCTCCCAGGACATTTCCAAGCACAATTCAAAGTGTTGGTGCTGACCTTGAAAGCCCTAAACGGCCCAGTAGACCTGAAGGAGCGTCTCCACCTCGGACACCTGGGTCCATCTCCCGAGGGTCTTCTGGCGGTTCCCTCCCTGCGAGAAGTGAGGTTGCAGGGAACCAGGCAGAGGGCCTTCTCGGTGGTGGCGCCCGCCCTGTGGAACGCCCTCCCAGCAGATGTCAAGGAGATAAAAATCTACCTGACATTCAGAAGACATCTGAAGGCAGCCCTGTTTAGGGAAGTTTTTAATATCTAACGCTGTACTGTTTTGAACACTTGATTGGGAGCCGCCCAGAGTGGCTGGGGAAACTCAGCCAGATGGGCGGGGTATAAATAAATATTATTATTATTATTATTATTATTATTATTATTATTATTATTCTATGAAAACACACCCTGAATGCACTCTGCACGCTCTCCGTTGCAGAATCTGGTGTCGGTCGTCTTCGGAGACCCCCGGTGCCACCAGATGCTGACAGAGCAAAAACGGGCGTACACCCCCAAGGAATTGGGCAGCCAGCGGTAAGGACAGGCCTCCAGACTGCAGATTTCCAGATTTCCGATTTGCCGCTGTGAAAACGGGCGGTGTAACCGTTGCATTCGGAGCCGTTCTGGTCGCCTCTCCTCAAAACGGAGTTGGGAAAGGACCAACAGGGGGGGAAAACCAGAGTCCTTTCTGTTGGGGATAATTCAGACTGAAATTCCCAGGTGCCAAAAAAGGTTATTCTTAATGTATTTTTAATCTTTTGTTGGAAGCTGGCCAGAGTGGCTGGGGAAATTATTATTATTATTATTATTATTATTATTATTATTATTAACAGTATCAATATTGATCACTTACTAATACACCACCCATCTGGTCAGGCCTCCCCAGGCAATCTGGGCAGCTTCCAACAGGATAATAAAAGCACAATAAAACATCAAACGTTAGAAAGCTCCCTAAAAAGGGCTGCCTTCTTATGTCTTCTAATGCCAAGGTTGCGGGTTCGATTTATGTATGAGACGGCTTCGTATTCGGGGTTGGACTAGATGACCCTTAGGGTCCCTTTGAACTCTACAGTGGGCAGGATTTTAAAAATGTATTTATTGCCCCCTCCATTGGTTTTAATATATATCTGTGCGGTGGTTTTTTTGGTCTGTTTGTCTGGTTGTAAGTTGCATTGCACTGCCCTGGGTGAGATAAAATAATTACTATTATTTTAAATTTTATTATTCTATTTAAAAACCAACGCAATTCAGGAAAACGATATTCTCTTTCCTCTCTGCCGATCTCTCGCCCACAGCTATGACCCGGAGAGCGCAGCCGCCCAGGTCCGCCTGACGAATATCCGGCCCGGAGACGGGAGGCAAGACTTTACCACCGTCATGTCTGAAGCGTATCCCTGGAGGGACCCAGGTCGGGAGAACCGGGTTCAAGTCCGGACACCCCCATCGCTATTCCCTCCGCACCTCCACGCTGTTTCTCCTGGCCCTTTGCTTTTTAACATACGCCAAAGAGGGGGGGTGGAGCTCTGTGCATGCTCAGGAACTGCTTAGCCGCACTCCCCACGAAAACAGGATGGTTTGCTCCGCTCGCACTCAGACCCCTGAAATGAGATGCGCACAACTTAACTCAGGTGCAGCAGGGTCTACTCTTGAGTAGAGTGTCATTGGGTGAGGTTGCCCGGAGGTCGGAGACCGGTTCGGATCATTTCTCCATTTATTTCTCGCCTCCCATAAAACTCCGGGAAGCGATCCCACAATCAAAATCAGGGTTTTTGGGGGGCAATAATTTTTCCCAGAGCAGCTTAAAAATAAAACAGGCCCTGGCCATTGGAAAGCCATAATAATAATAATAATATATTTATAACCCACCCATTTATACCCTGGCCATTGGAAAGCTATCACCATCATTTATTTATTTATACCCCACCTATCTGGCTGGGTTTCCCCAGCCACTCTGGGCGGCTTCCAGCAAAATATTAAAACACAATAATTCACCAAATATTAAAAGCTTCCCTAAACACGGCACGAAGGGAAAGGGGATTGGGGCGGGAGAAGGAAAAACAAAAACCCCACGCCTGATTTTTTTCTAATCATATCAAAATAGTTTAAACCCAGTCAAGGCAATGCTTTCATTGCCGACACAGACGGCTTACTCTATATTTGTTATAGTTCCTCATAGCCATCCCACCTGATCGCTACAATTTAAAGCTTCCCTAAACACGGCACGAAAGGAAAGGGGATCGGGGCAGGAGGAGGAAAAACAAAAACCCCGCGCCTGATTGTTTCTTCCGTCCCTAGGACCGTTGCGCATCATCACGGTGAGGAAGAATGAGTCCTCCATTCTCCGAGGGGATCGGGACCCCGAGAGGAACAGGCAAAACGCCACCACCACCATCCACCGTCATTACTACAGAGAGGTAGCAAAATCCCTGGGGGTCCCTGGATTCGCTGCGCCCCTGGCCCCCCGTGACGCAGGGATCCTTTTGCCTGGCACGGGACTCGAACCCACGACTCGCGTGTCTTCTCTGCCCAGCCGAACCGGGAGGAGCCGGCGTCCCGGGCGGAGCCCAAACCCCGGAAAGACTTGACTTTGGGCGACAACCGCTATGCCTACTTCTGCACCACGCAACACGAGGACTATTGCCCGCCCCCCGAGACCCACAAATTGGACGTGAACAAGTGGAAGATCATGAAGAGCAACATCCCTTTCAACTATCCCGGTAATAATGGGGTTTTCGGGGGGCAGGAAAACGCGGTTTCCCAAACCCCGGGTGGGTGTCTCATTCAGATAGGCAGAGAGAAGCCTCAGCAATCAAGAGAGGGGTTTTCTTTTTATTAATTATTATCTTTGTTGTTGTTGAGTCATTTAGTCGTGTCCGCCTCTTGGTGACCCCCTGGACCAGAGCACGCCAGGCCCTCCTGTCTTCCACTGCCTCCCGCAGTTGGGTCCAACTCATGCTGGTAGCTTTGAGAACACTGTCCCACCATCTCGTCCTCCGTCGTCCCCTTCTCCTTGCGCCCTCCATCTTTCCCAACATCAGGGTCTTTTCCAGGGAGTCTTCTCTTCTCCTGAGGTGGCCAAAGGATTGGAGCCTCAGCTTCAGGATCTGTCCTTCCAGGGAGCACTCAGGGCTGATTTCCTTCAGAATGGAGAGGTTGGATCTTCTTGCAGTCCATGGGACTCTCAAGAGTCTCCTCCAGCACCAGAATTCAAAAGCATCCATTCTCCGGCGATCAGCCTTCTTGATGGTCCAGCTCTCACTTCCATACATCACTACTGGGAAAACCAGAGCTTTAACTAGACGGACCTTTGTCAGCAAGGTGGTGTCTCTGCTTTTTAAGACAGTTGAGGGTCCTGAGTCAACGGTCAGATAATGGACCTTATTCCAGGGGTAGGCAAACTAAGGCCCAGGGGCCAGATCCGGCCCAATCTCCTTCTCAGTCCAGCCTGCAGATGGTCTGGGAATCAGTGTGTTTTTACATGAGTAGAATGTGTGCTTTTATTTAAAATGCATCTCTGGGTTATTTGTGGGGCATAGGGATTCGTTCACATATTTTTTTCCAAAATATAGCCCGGCCCTCCACAAGGTCTGAGGGACGGTGGACCGGCCCCCTGCTGAAAAAGCCTGCTGACCCCTGTATTATCTCCTCTTTTTCCTCCCTCTCTCTCAGCGCCCGATGGCCTCACCACCAGCACCCAGGACATGCTGGTTCCTTACTGCCAGCCGAGGTGCCAGGTCCCTGAGGAGGAGCTACAGAAGGTCAGGAACCACCTTAGGCCAGGCCAGCCAGGGTGCTGTTACGGAAATTGCGGGGGCACATCTTTAAAGTTAAATATTACAAATATTATGCCTGAATATACCCTTCCAACTTGACAGCTCAGGGAAGTCACCTAGCTTTAAAAATAATATAAAATCACCTCCTTTCCCAGTCCCCCCCCCCATTCCAAAGCTATTTTCGCCTTCCAAAAGGACTCCAGGAAGTTTCCAGAGGTGACAATTGCTGGGCTGATTGTTAGCCAAGGGAAGCCCAATCTCATCACCTGACTCGCCTCAGGCTCCAGACATGCAAAGGAACTTCTATTGTACTTTTGGGTACTTAAGACATCTTTGTCTATGCTCATCTTATACCTGAGTCTTGCCCTGCCATGTCTGCTTATGCTAATCTTGGTACCAAGGACTTTTCTGGACATGTTTGCCAAGGTTAAGCCCTCCCCTTCGAACTGTATTCTGGGATATGGTGGGAAAGTTTTAAAAGTCTTTGTCACCCCATCCTCAGGGTTCAAAATTTGCTTTTGAACCTATTGTGCAATAAACTTTGGTCTACAGCTATTTGCTCCGGTTGGCTGGACTCCTTCCTTTATTCCGCAAGGTCCCGCGGGCTCTGCCCGACCAGCTGGGGGACTGAGCAGCCTCACACCCAGATTTTTCCTTAACAGTTCCAACTCAAACCATGAGGACTAGCCCCCTAGACGGGCTGTTGGCCCGAGCAAGCAAGCTCTCTCCCTTCCTGCTTTAAGTTCCTGCTCTCTCTCTCTCTCTCTCTCTCTCCTTCCCAGATTAAGTATTCCCACCTGGTCCAGCCCTGGAAGGACCGGCGGTGGTTCAGCACGGAGCAGAAAGACGCCTTCACCAACAAATATGGAGGCCCCATCACCCTGGTGGTGGGGGACAACCAGAGAAGCAGTCTCCCCCTGGGCACCTTGCCGAACTATTCCCTCCGGAAGAAAATCGCCCCTGCAAACATCTGCCTGACCGAATAAACCCTATATCTCTATTTCGCCTTTTGGCTACCGCCCTCAGTTCATTTGTTTTCGGCCTCGCCGCTGCCGTTCAGAGCCAGCTCTACTGTTAGGCAAGGTGGGTGGGATATTTTGAGTGCTCACATCCAGGGCCGGATTGAGGTTTGATGCGGCCCTCAGCTCCTGAAGGGAACGGGGCCCTTTCTATGTCCAGCTGTCCTTTGTCAACGGCAAATTGTTGCTGTTTTTCGTGTTGAATATAAGCTATATGGTAATTTATGGACCTAATAGGTATCTAAAGCCATTTGCACATCTTGCCGTGCAACCAGTCCATGCAGAATATGTGTTGAATATATGCTGTATGGTCACTTATGGTTTTCCCAGCAGTGATGTATGGAAGTGAGAGCTGGACCATAAAGAAGGCTGATCGCTGGAGAATGGATGCTTTTGAATTCTGGTGCTGGAGGAGACTCTGGAGGTCCCATGGACTGCAAGAAGATCAAACCTATCCATTCTGAAGGAAATCAGCCCTGGGTGCTCACTGGAAGGACAGATCCTGAAGCTGAGGCTCCAAGACTTTGGCCACCTCAGGAGAAGAGAAGACTCCCTGGAAAAGACCCCTGATGCTGGGAAAGATGGAGGGCACAAGGAGAAGGGGATGACAGAGGACGAGATGGTGGGACAGTGTTCTCGAAGCGGCCAGCATGAGTTTGACCAAACTGCGGGAGGCAGTGGAAGACAGGAGGGCCTGGCGTGCTCTGGTCCAGGGGGTCACAAAGAGGCGGACACCACTAAACAACAACAACAAATGACTTCCCCTGATCTGGACACTAGACTTCTGCGGATGCAGCCTAGAATAGCATTCGACTTTTTTTGCCGCTGCATCACATGGTGGGTTCACGTTCAGCTTGTGGTCCACCCAGACCCCTCAATCCTTTCCATGTGTCCTGCTAGTGAGCCAGGTGTCCCCATGCAACATTTGCACACCTGCTTCTTCCTGCCTAAGCGCGGAACCTGAGCTTTGTCCCTGCGGAAACTCGCTTGGTTACCTTGCGCCCAGTTCTCCAATCTGTTAAGGTCATTTCAGAGAATAGGTGAAGGGACCCCTGACCATTAGGTCCAGTCGTGGCTGACTCTGGGGTTGCAACGCTCATCCCGCTTTATTGGCTGAGGGAGCTGGCATACAGCTGGTCATGTGGCCAGCAGGACTAAGCCGCTTCTGGCGAACCAGAGCAGCGCACGGAAACGCCGTTTACCTTCCCGCTGGAGTGGTACCTATTGATCTACTTGCACTTTGACGTGCTTTCGAACTGCTGGGTTGGCAGGAGCAGGGACCGAGCAACGGGAGCTCACCCCGTCACTGCGGGGATTCGAACCGCTGACCTTCTGATCGGCAAGTCCTAGGCTCTGTGCTTTAACCCACAGCGCCACCCGCGTCCCAGAATAACGTTAGCCTATTTCGCTGCAGCGTCACACGGTGGTCCACCAAGAAGTCCTTTTAATCTGTTTAGGTGTTTGGCATCAATGAGACCCAGGGAAGTGTGTGAGACCCTGAGTGCCTAAGACCAAGACCCTGAGGTCCTGTTCCCACGTACTTCTAGGAAACTCCTTCTATTCCCGAGCCCCCGAAGCTCTCTGCCGCATCCCCAGGTTTGAAACCCGACCCCTGGCTTCTGTTCCCCGCCAGCAGGGAGGGGGGCGACCCCTTGTCCCTTCTCGCCTTCGCTTCCCCCCCCTCCTTCGCACCCAAACCCCGGAGCCACAAATTCTCCTCTTGCGCAAAAACGCGCCTCCGTGGCAAGGGCGGGCATGGCAGGGAAGGAATGTGAAAAACCGATGTTCCCTCTGCCTGTGCGCCCCCCCCTTCCGCCTCCTTCCGCACGTCCCAGGGCTTATTTTCGCCCCGCCAGCCGCTCCTGCAGCTGGGAGATAAGGGCGCTGCCAATTTTTTGGAGAAAGTTTCCGAAGTCTCTTCCTCTCAACCGCCTCTCCTCTGCCGCTGCCAACGTCGCAGCAGCTGAGCTGGTGTCAGAGCGAGAAGAGTGCGTAAAGTTGAAGGAGACCCCGCGTGGTCATCCATCCCAACCCCTTGCAACGCAGGATTTTTTTTTCTGCCCAGCGCGGAACTCGAACCCACAACCCCGAGATTCAGAGTCTGGTGCTCTGCCGACTGAGGATGCCCCCCACCCACCCACAAGAGCGTTTTGCGGGAGGGATGTAAGAGGAAATTCAGCCCCGGATTCGAGTGGAAGAAGCGAGCTTTTTTTTAATTTTAAAAAGCGCATTTTCTTGTTATATTTGCCGTCAACTGAGTTCCTTTCAACGCTTTGGCTCTGAGCGCCCGCCCCCTTTTGGAGATCCACAAAAAACCCACGGCTTTGCCAAAGGGAAACCCCCACCCCAAAGGGACCAGGATTCGAACTCCGGGCCCCCTCCTGCCTTGCGCTTTGCGGCAGCTGGCACCCCGGAGCCGCCTCTCTGTCTCCTGTAGTTTGAAGACGCTCCCTTGGAGGAGGAGGAGGAGGAGGGCTTTGGAAAGGGAAGGGGGGGCGGAGGGAGGGGTCTTGGCAAAGGTCTTTCCCTCTCCTTGCCTGTCGCTGTCAGTTCAGCCCTGGCGCTGTCCGAGGGCGCAGGAGTTGGAGCCCAATTTGCCCCAAAGCAGCAGCAGCAGCAGCTGCCACCCCAAAATTTGCCCCTTTCTGAGGGTTTCTGCCAGCTTCCAGCAAGGGACCGTTGCCCCTGGGGTCCCTGGCAAGAGGGGCACCCCCTTTTTTGCCATGCACCCCTTCACCCGGGTGAGGGGCTTCAAGGTCCAGCTGGATGGCCACCTCGGTGGTGGCACCGTCTACCGGGGCGGAGAGGTCCTCTCCGGGCAGGTAGTGCTGGACGTCGCCAAGAGGGTCAAGGTGAGAGAATGCTGGAAATTATTTTTATTTTAAAATCCCTGAAGTTCTGCTTTTGGGATGTACAGGAGTTGATGGATTTATAGAGCAAAAAAAGATTTAAAAAGGCTGGCAAAATAAATTATGGAACGATGCAGGAAAAATGAGATTATTTGAACCCCAGGGAAGAAAGAGAACTTTGTGTTGTGTTGTTGTGTTGTGTTGTTGTGTTGTTCTAAAAGGGCAAATGTTTAATGCGTATTTCTTAAGCTTTGTGCATAAATTTCTACATCAGTGTAACTTTCAAAAGTCGCTTGTAAGAAGGTGAAGGAGGTTTTGAAACTGGACAAGGTTTTATAGACCTGCAGGAACAGGCATAAAACAGTGGAACGGGAGAAGGGAGTGGTGCAAAAAAAAAAAAACATGGTTTAAAAATTGCTTTATGATGTGCGTTTTTTGGTTCTGAGATGATTTTGTGTTGTTTTTTCTTTTCATTTCTGTTATTTTCGGGAAATTCATAAAATGTCGACCACAACGAAACAACGAAAAGGTGAGAGCGCTGGCCGTCTGCGCCCGTGGTTTGGCCACTGCCCACTGGCTGGAGGGCAAGAGCGTGGGCATGAACACCATCTACAGCGACTACACAGCCTTCCAGACTTACCTGAGAAGGAAGACGCACCTGATCCCAGGTAAGAGGGCAGGAGAGCAGGCTTGGCACCGCCGTCATAGGTGCCACGCGGGGTGCAATGCCCTGGCACAGAAATTTGTGGGTGCCACGCAGGGTGCACGGCCCTGGCGCAGAAATTTGTGGGTGCCACGCAGGGTGCGTGGCCCTGGCGCAGAAATCTGTGGGTGCCATGCGAGGTGCGTGGCCCTGGCGCATAAATTTGTGGGTGCCATGCGAGGTGCATGGCCCTGGCGCATAAATTTGTGGGTGCCATGCGAGGTGCGTGGCCCTGGCGCAGAAATCTGTGGGTGCCACGTGAGGTGCATGGCCCTGGCACAGAAATTTGTGGGTGCCACACAAAATGCATGGCCCTGGCACAGAAATTTGTGGATGCCACGCAGGGTGCAGGGCCCTGGCGCAGAAATTTGCGGGTGCCCAGCCTCTTCGTGGGGAATTTGGCGAGGGCTCGGGCACCTAAATAATTTGAGAGGGGTTCCCGCACTCGCAACCCCGCAGATCTCCGTCTCCTTGCTGTTTTTGGGTGTATTATTATTATTATTATTCGTTTTCAATTACAATCCAATCATCGCCTTGTTATAACAATTCACAGGGGTTCACAACACACTAAAACACCAAATAAAACAATCTGGACCCAAACATTCCCGAAGAAAGTCAAGTATAAAATGCACATTCAAAGCAACGAAGTTAACAGGAAACTAAAACATTCCAAATATAACATTGCAAAGGACGTCGGCTGCAGGATGTGTGTAAGATGCGGCGAAGGGAACAAACATCGTAAAGATTTCAAAAGAAAACATTGGAAGTGAAATATGCAATATATATTGGCAGTTTTATTTCCAGTTCCCTTGCTCAGGATCTCGCGAGGGTGGAATTTGGCCTTTTCGCATCTGCCAGGCCCAGTTCCAGGCAGCGAAACCCTTCTGGGGATCTCAGAGACGCTGTTTACTCAGCGACACTCGAACGCAGAGCCGGCTGGGTAAACAGCGAAGCTCCTGGTCGCTGCTTGGATCCTGCACGACTCCGCTGATAACTGCTTGGCGACGCTTCCTGGTGCGAAATCGCTCGGCATATTTGCCCATTTAGGCGGGCCCATATGGCCCACCCTGACCGGCAGCAGCTGCCCAAGCTCAGGGAGAGACATAGAATCATAGAATTGAGAGGGGCCTCGAAATCTCCTTTCTTGAGGCTTGAAGCCACGGGTACGAGCAGTGCCAGATTTACGTATAAGCTAAACTAGCTCTAGCTTAGGGCCCCACTCTCTTGGGGGCCCCCAAAAAAATTGAAGGAAAAAAACCTGGATGTACATTTCCAAAATATTATCTATCTATCTATCATCTATCTATCTATCTATCTATCTATCATCTATCTACAGTATCTATTATCTATCTTTATACAGTATCTATTGTCTATTATCTATCATCTATCTATCATCTATCTACCTATCTATCTATCTATCTATCTATCTATCTATCTACAGTATCTATTATCTACGTATATATCTGTCTATCTATCTATATCTACAGTAGCTATTATCTATCTATCTGTCTGTCTGTCTATCTATCTACAGTATGTATTACCTATCTATCTATAGTATCTATTATCTATCTATCATCTATCTATAGTATCTATTATCTATCTACAGTATCTATTATCTATCTATATATCTGTCTATCTATCTATCTGTATCTACAGTAGCTATTATCTGTCTGTCTGTCTGTCTGTCTGTCTATCTACAGTATCTATTATCTATCATCTATCATCTATCTATCTATCTATCTATCTATCTATCTATCTAGGCCAGTGCTGGATTTACGTATAAGCTAAACAAGCTATAGCTTAGGGCCCCACTCTCTTGAGGGCCCCCAAAAAAATTTAAAGGGGGAAAAACTGGATGTACAGTTCCAAAATATAAGATGAAAAACAAATGGAATAAAACCCACATGCAGCAACTGTGTTTTGTGTTGTGTCGGCTCCTCGGATGTAAGTCATGGGCCCCGCCTGCTAGCCTGCTCCCTAAAATATCCCTGCTTTGTTCCTTTCTATATATAGGGTGTGTGTATATGTATGTGTGTGTGTGTGTGTATATATATATACACACACACACACACACACACACACATATGGTGGGGGGCGCGGGGGGCGCTCTAAACCACAGAGCCTAGGGCTTGCCGATCAGAAGGTTGGCAGTTCGAATCCCCACAATGACGGGGTGAGCTCCCGTTGCTCGGTCCCTGCTCCTGCCAACCTAGCAGTTTGAAAGCACCTCAAAGTGCAAGTAGATAAATAGGTACCGCTCCGGCGGGAAGGTAAATGGCGTTTCCGTGCGCTGCTCTGGTTCGCCAGAAGCGGCTCAGTCCTGCTGGCCACTTGACCCAGAAGCTGTACGCCGGCTTCCTCGGCCAGTAAAGCGAGATGAGCGCCGCAACCCCAGAGTCATCCGCGACTGGACCTAATGGTCAGGGGTCCCTTTACCTTTATATATAGGGTGCTTAGATTCTGCTATTTATCATTCTTAGTAGTTTGCATCATATATTTACAGCTATTATTATTTCACGTTATAGCAAGTATCTAGAGACTAGATGAGGAGTCTTTGTCAATTGTGTTTCCAAAGGAACTTTTGTTCTTGCCAAACGCCAATGTGTTTGCATTATTCAGTTTGTTAGGAATCAAAAATCATTTTAAGTTCGAGCTTCATCATTATTTCACTATTCATATACTTCTTAACTGTATTTCGGTTCAACAATCACTTTGATAAAATACATATTTTGTGATGTGCAAATGGCTTGAGATACCTATGAGGTCCATAAATTACCATATAGCATATATTCCACACAAAAAACAGCGACAATTTGTTGTGGACAAAGGACAGCTGGACATAGAAAGGGCCCTATTACCTTAAGTTGCTTAGGATCTTATTTATTTTATTGCTTTCATTTTATGGATCAATGGTAAAATTCATGTTCAATTGCTGTTTTAGAAGTTGTTTTTAAAAGTCTGGAACAGATTAATCCGTTTTGCCTGACTTTCTATGGTAAAGCGCACCTTTCTTTTGGAACGCTTTGGTTTTGGAACGGGATTTCCGGAACGGATCAAGTCTGAGAACCAAGGGACCACTGTATTTGCTAAGCCCAATTTAGCAAAAACAACTTCTGGCTGGTTTTTTTGTAACTCTGTTGACCAACACTGTTCCTTTTTGAGCCGCTAAGCGTCACTATTGTCCTTTCAAAGACAACATGCCGGGATTCGAACTTAGTTCTCAGCAGACGCCAGGAGGGGTCAGCAAAGTCGGTGGAAGTCAGTGCCAGGGGACAGATGGCTCCAGCTCCCTTTCCTCTGGTGCCAAGGACTGCCCCTTCTGCTCCAAACAAAACGTTTTCTGTGTTGCTGTTGTTGTTTTCTACCCCTCTTGGTCCTGTTTTCCCCATGAAATACTTTTTCCCCTGGCAGTGCATGGAGCCTCCACAGATCGCCGCAGTCTACCTGATTTATTTATTCTGCCCTGGATGCTTTAGCTGAGTTTTCCGCGTGGAAAGAGCCTCAAGACCGCCCAGCGAAGCTTCAGTGGCGATTTGAACCCCGGTCTCACTCCCAGGTCCTAACGGGCCAGTGCTGTAACCACTGTGCAACGCTGCCTGTGGGGGTCGGAGGTGCATAAACGCCGCAGGGCGTGAGAGACCTTGCTTGGGATCTTCTCAGGCTGGGAGTAGGACACTGGGGTGATACAAAAAGGGGGTTTCGGGGACCCCTACCCCCCTTGCTGTCTGCTTGCAGATTTTACATTTTCGCCCTGGGCCGGTTGGGCTCTGCAAGAAGCTGGAGAGAGAGGAATTAGACTAGGATGGCAGAGCTGTCGAGTTTGATGGGGTCCTCCAAAGGTCATCTAGCCCAACCCCGCGCAATGCAGGAATCCACCGAAAAACCTCCATGCGGTGAAGCCCATTCCGCCACCAAACAGCTCTTGCCATCAGGATCTCCTTTCTCGTGGGTTTTCCTGCCGGCGCGATTCAGCCCCATGAGGCCAGGAGTTCCCCTGTCTCCCACGGAGTTTGGCGTGGGCCCAGAGGCACGCCCCGCATGCCCCAGATTAGCTGCCCTGCCCGCCGGCGGAGAAACACAGGCACGCCTTTTGTCTCTTTCCCAAGCCCGTTGGCCCGGGATCAAATGGCTGGGGTGGGTGGGAATCTAGGGCAGGCCCAGGTCAGGAGGTTGGGGGGCAGAAAGCGGGTTGGGGGGCGAATTCAAATGTGCAGGCCGCTTGGCACATGTTGGTGGCCCAGCTCAATCCTACAAAGGCGTCTGGGAATATCCCCTTGCCTGCTGCTGCCAGTCAGTGTAGGCACCTCTGAGGTCCCCCTTGTCTGACTCAGTAAGAGGCAAGCTTAGTTTTCCAGGAAAGAGTTAGAACACCTGCTTTGAATGCAGAAGGGTCCAGGCAGAGCTGGGAGAGATGCTTAAATCAGGACGCCGCTGCTGCCGGTCTGTGCATGCAGTACCAGTCGGATGGGCCAGTTGTCCTATGTTCCAAGCGAGGGATCCAGCCGGGAATTACGCAAGAAGAGGAAATTCTTGAGACAGCCCTCTGGGGGAAAAATCAGATTTAATTATCAGTTACGTCACAGCTGCAATTGAATGGTCGAATTGCAGAGTTGGAAGGGGCCCCGGGGGTCATCCAGCCCAACCCCGCGTGATGCGGGAACAAGCAGCGGGGAGTTGCGACAGTTAACAACGCTAGGCCTTTCGCTTGCGTTTCTTCACAATGGAAACTGCCCGTCGCAAACGCTTGTTTGTGGATTCAATCCTCGTGCCGTTTCTGGTGGCCGTAAACCATGAGGACTAGATTCTTCGTGCCTTTTGAAGGAGCAGAGCTTGGTGTGCAAAACGTCCCCCTTGGCGCCTCCGGGTAGGGCTTCGGGGGGGGGGACGGACACCAAATCTGAAACCCTGGAGAACTTCTGCCAGCCAGTGTAGGCAAAACTGGCCCGACTGAGTAACTTAATCTCAGGGTCCTGGGTTCGAGTTTCACATCGCGCCAAATCTTCCTGCATTGCAGCGGGTTGGACTGGATGACCTCAAGGGGTCCCTGTCCAACTCTAGAATTTTATCATTTCAGTTCACTAAGCCAAAAATAAGGGGCCAACAGTAAATGATTCTCTCGAAGGTTTTAACCGGCACGGAAATAGTTCTTCCTGTATATGTTTCCTTACTGACTGCTGTTACATTGTTTAATCCCGATTTAATCTTGACAAAGGGCGGTTTATAAATGGAAGGAATGAAAGAATAAATACATTGACAGGCGTGCGTCGGAGGGTGAATTATAGCTTCGCAACCGGCTTGGGCAATTGGCGCTTGCTTTTGGTAACTTTACGCGGCGCTACAAACCCCCCCCAAATTCAATGGAAACGTTTCTAGGTTGGGATACAAATAGAAGCAACAATTGGAAAATAAATAAGCGAGAGAGGGAGAGATGGATATCTGTCTGTTGGCTCAGGCTTTTCAGCTTTGTGTTTGCCTTCCCTTCCCTGCCCAACTGGAGGAAAGTTTATCTCTCCAAAAGTGACCAGCCCGGGCGCGCATGCTCGCTGCCTTGTTTTCGCCAAAGCCTGCAGCTGCCGGCCAGACCTGGGGGCATTGGGGGTAGGAAAAGGGGGGTGGATGGGGGGGTTCTGGGGGAGGGCTTTTTGCCGCGCCCCGCCCCCCCTGCGCCCATAGGGCGCTGGGATCCAGGGGGCGCGGTTTGGAGAGCCTTGAAAAAGCTTTACGCGCGGCGCAGTGCGCACAGAAGAGTTGGAGAAGCTCACTGACACGCAAAGATGCTTTTCGACCGTGTGAAACGCCTTTCGGTGGAGCTGGATTGCCCCGAGGTGGCCTCGCCGCCGGTCTTCAGCTCCGGGGAGAGCGTGGCCGGCCGCGTGGTGCTGGAGCTGTCCGGCACGGCACGCCTGGGCGCGCTCCACCTGCATGCGCAAGGCGCGGCCAAAGTCCACTGGACCGAGTCTCGCAGCGCCGGATCCAGCACCGCTTACACGCAGAGCTACAGCGACCAAGTGGAGTTCCTCAGTCACCGGCAGACCCTCCTGGCCCCGCCAGGTAAGGCGTCCTCTGAGCGCGGGCAGAGCGCGCAATCTCCTCCCTGCGCTCCGCGGGAGCCCGGCGCGCCTGCCTGCTTGCCCGGCGCGATCTGTCTCTCGCAAAGCCTCTCCGCCTCGGCGGAGTTTTTCATGCAACGTTAAAAAGTTCTTTTTTCCAAAGGGAAGCTGCTTGTCCAGCCAGCTCTGTAGGGCCGACACGGGCCGGCAGCGCTCTCCTCTCCCCTGCCACCCTGCCCTCCTCGGGAGCGCCGCTCAAGCGCCCAGTCTGTCTCTCTCCATGTTGCTTGCGAAGCCTCTCTACCTCAGCAGGGCCGACACGGGCGGGCAGCGACTCTCCTCCTTTTTTCCAAAGGGGAACTGCTTTGCCAGCCAGCTCTGGAGGGCCGGCACGGGCTGGCAGCGCTCTCCTCTCCCCTCCTCGGGAGCGCCGCTCAAGCGCCCAGTCTGTCTCTCTGCCTCTCTCCACGTTGCTTGCGAAGCCTCTCTACCTCAGCAGGGCAGCGGCTCTGCTACTTCCTAAAGAGGAGCTTTCCACAGGGAAGCTGCTTTTGGACCCGGCTCTGTAGTGCCAGCACTGGCTGGCAGCAGCCCTCCGACAGGGCTGCCGCTGCCTGGAGAACCCCAGAGCCTCACAAGTCAGGCTCTCGGGGTCCAGGCACCTCAACATATCTCCTGCTTCCTGAGAGCAGGAGACACTCTGGGTGGTGGGTTCGAGCTTATATGAAGCCCACCTTTATTGCCCACACAGGCTGGCAGTCGCAGCTCTCTGAGATTTACAGGCAAGGAGTTCCCCCCCACACACACACCTGGAAATTGAATCTGGGTCGTTCTGCATGCAGGGCAGTTGCCCTACCAGCAGAAGATGAACTGTTTTAACATCCTTCCCCGTTGCATGGCGGGGGTTGGGCTGGATGACCTTTGAGGGTCCCCTCCCAACAATTCTATGATTCTTTCGCATGCTCTGGCCCAGATTTCCCTTAAGAAAGGCCAGTTGGAAAACAGGATTTTCAGGTTTCTGGCATCGGGGTGGGATGTTTGTTTGCAACCTTCCAAAGGGGCGAACCAGCGGCTGCCGGCTTTTGGGACCCCCCCCCCCCGGCCTTGCTGACCTCGGCTCAACTTCCTAAGATTTTGCCCCAGCTGATTCTATTCCTGGGAGCCGGGCGCTTACATAATGCCAAGCTCTTGCAAGACCCCCTGGGATATCTTGGGGCATATTTGCAATTCTGGAGGGGGCACCTTCTGTTAAAAACTCCCCTTTGCAGGGCACCTGGGCTGTAGGAACTGAGTATATTTTGGGGGAGAGAGAAATATTGTTGTGCAATCCCTTCCTTTTGTGTCTTTTCGCTGTGTGTGCCTGAACTTTCCCCGGTTGTTTATGGGGTGCCAAAAAAAGTCACATGCTTTTTGGCTGAGTGTGGATGTTGTGTTGAATTTCCCCCGTTTGACCGCTGCAGGAAAACAGCTCCAGAAAAACATCTTCTTTTTTTAAAAAGCTCTGTTATTCATTTCAACTTCCTTTATTTCTTGTTTTCCCAACAGACAACGGAGACGTCACCGTCCTTCAGGCCGGACGACACGAATTCCCTTTTACTTTCCAGCTGCCAGAGTAAGTCAAACACTTCTTCAAAATACTATTATTATTCTTATTTGATTTGTGGGCGATTGCACCTGGTGGCAAAAACCTATACGCCATTGCATGTCCCCATTGCATTTATTTTACATGGTTTTGTGATCCTTTTACGTGGTTTTGTGTGTTATTTTATGCCTTGTGACTTTTGTGGGTTGTAGTTTAGTAATTTATTTATTGTCAGGAGCGAATTTCTGTCCAGCTATTATATTGTTTTGAGAGCTCATTTTATTGGGTCCTATTACAGATTATGGAATGTTCCTTTATTATTTGAGACGAGTCGTTTCATTTTAAAGTGAACGTTTTATTGAGGCGAAACATCTGCCGATGTTTTGAGAGTCAATTTTACTGGATGCTATTGTCTCCTAATAGATAATGGAATATTCCTTTTTTTGATAGGAACCACTCCATCTTAAAGTTAGCCTTTTATTAAACATCTGCTGATGTTTGGAGAGTCAGTTTTACTGGCTGCTATTCTAATCGATTGCGGAATATCCCTTTATTCGGTGGGAACCGTTCCATCTTAAAGCGACGTCTTATTACGGCGTCTGTTTTTTCTTGTACATTTGGTTGCCTCAAACCGCCTTGTGTGTCATCACATAAAAAGGCACAAATTAAAAGTGAAACAGAACGAAATGCAAGATATTTTGGGTTGGGCTCCAGACTCGCAGGAGGGAAATGTTTAGGGAAGCTTTTAATAGTGGGTGAATTATTGTATTTTCACATTTTGCTGGAAGCCGTCCAGAGTGGCTGGGGAGACCCAGCCAGATGGGCGGGGTATAAATAATAAAATATTATTATTATTATTATTATTAGGCCTCATTTTTCATACTTCCCTTCCCTTGACAGATCCTTGGCCACTTCCTTCGAGGGAAAACATGGGAGCGTTCGCTATTGGGTGAAGGCCAAGCTCCACCGTCCCTGGGCTTCAGTCAAGAAAGCCAAGAAGGATTTCACCATTATTGAGCCCATCGATATCAACACGCCGGCGTTATTGGTGAGTCGGAGAGGCAAAGCGGTTTGGGGAGGGATTTGGGTCGAATTAGGAACCAGGGGAAGCACCCGGCCTTAAACCGAACCCCTTTAGCTCATTGCTACCCCTGCAATATTCGGGTCAGGCTGGATGACCCCCAGGGGTCCCTTGCGAGTCTCCAATTCTGCGACTGGTTCCCTGATTTTGGGATAGCTCAGCCGGTAGGGTGTGAGGACCCTCCGGGTCGTGGGTTTGAGCCCCGCGCCGGGCAAATTATGGGGTCAGGCTAGATGAACCTTGGGGTTCCTTCAAGTTTTGAGATTCATTATACACACACACACATCTCTATATATATACACACACACTTTCTTGCATTTTCGGAATTCACAAAAAAGGAATAAAGAAAACAATGGACCACATATTCAAAGGTGAAAATGAAAATTACAAAATGCAGGATAGAAATGTTTGAAGGTCTAAAATAATCAAAATAACATTGAAAAAAGGGGGGAAATGCCAGTTTTGCAATTCTATGGCTGCCTGGCAACGTTGGGTCTCCCTGGTTTCCAGCTCAGAAGGGCTATTCCCAGCCCTTTTTGAACCCAGGACGTTTTGCCTTTAATAATAATAATAATAATAATAATAATAATAATATCTTCTGGAATAACACTTGTAGTGTAACGATGACTATGGACATAATGGAGATATTAAAATTTGGATGCAGAAGGAAAGGATTAACAGTAAAAGGAGGAGGGAAAGTCCAGGAGATTCTTGGCAATCTCGCTTTTATATATGATGTTGTGATGCGAATTTTAATTTGGAAAATCGATTTAATAATAATAATAATTTCTCTTCCTTCTCTGCTTGTGCCCATCAGGCTCCCCAAGCCGGTGCCAAGGAGAAGCTGGCACGCGCCTGGTATTGCAACCGAGGGCTGGTCTCCGTCTCGGCCAAGATCGACCGGAAAGGCTACACCCCAGGTGAGTCGTGGGGGGCAGCGGAAATTGGGGTGCGTGGGGCTCATGGCAAAGCTCAGCCCATCGGCCAGAGGACCCCGGGCACTTGACTCTGTGGCCTCCAGGGTTGGCATGCGGGGAATCTGCCGGTGGCCCTGCGGAAACGCAGTGGCTTCAAACCATCGGGGGTCCCCCAGTGGTCATCCAGCCTGACCCCTGAAAATGCAGGCAAATCCCCAGCCAGAAGCTGCTCAGCCCCTGTTAAAAAACCTCTGAGGGTGGAGAGCTGGCTGCCAGCCCTTTGCTCCCCAAAAGTCCAGCTAAAACATTTGCCCTGCCAATTGCAATAATAATAATAATAATAATAATAATAATAATAATAATATTAATAATAATAATAATAATGTTATTTATACCCCGCCCATCTGGTTGGGTTTCCCCAGCCATTCAGGGCGGCTTTCAACAGAGCATTAAAAACAGAATAAAAGTTCAAACATTGAAAACTTCCCTGATTTTTTCGGATGTCTTAATATTATTATTATTATTATTATTATTATTATTATTATTATGTACTGCCCTTTATCAGAAGATCCCAGGGCTCCGTATGCAACCTTAAAAACACATTGCGGAACGGTGATAAAAATGTCAAATCGCAGAGTTGCAAAGGGACCCTGTGGGTCATCTAGTCCAACCCGCTGTGATGCAGCAGGTCTCGAACCCACAATCTTTGCGTTACCGGCACTCACAATGTAATAAAAAGCTGGCTGGCCAGCAGGAAAACTGTCAAGGGAGCCCGGCTAAGTTTTCCTGGCTTTAGGAACAGGGTGGCCCCCCAAAAAGGGGTGTGTTTTCCTGCTCCCACCAACGCAGCATTGCGCCCATTTCCTTGACAGGCGAGGTGATCCCCATCTTTGCCGAGATCGACAACTGCAGCACCCGGACGGTGGTGCCCAAGGCGGCCATCATCCAGACGCAGACCTTTGTGGCGCGCGGCACCAAGAAGCAGAAGAAGTCGGTGGTGGCCTCCATGGTGGGCGACGCCATCGCGGCCGGCAAGAGGGAGGTGTGGCACGGCCGGGCCCTCAAGATCCCCCCCGTGGGACCCTCCATCCTCCAGTGCCACATCATCCACGTCGAGTACGCCCTCAAGGTGAGCCGAAGGGGCAGTATGGCCTAGCGGGCGGAGCGGGCCAGGGAGGCGAACCTCCGGAAACCCCAGTGTCACTGACACGGGCCGGCAGCAAAGCCTAGTGGTCGGAGCCAGCTTGGCGTGGGGAGGGAGGTCTGGAAAACCCCCGAAACCTCTTTTGGGGGACCCTCTGTGGTTCCAGGGGGGACGCAGAGAGCCAGTGTCGCCAGCACGGGCCGGCAGCAAAGCTCGCTGGGGTTTTGATTCGGGGCTTTTTGAGAGTTCGGACTTGGGGTATTCAGAGAGTCGGACGGGATCCCGAGGGTATAGGGCAGTACTGAAATTCTAATAATAATAATAATAATACTACAGTGGAACCTTGGAATGTGATCCATGCGGGTTGCAATTGGTGCTTCTGTGCATGTGCAAAGTGCGATTTAGCCTTTCTGCACATGCGCAAGCGCCGAAACCCAGAAGTAACCCGTTCCGGTACTATTATTATTGGGGGGAAATATAGTCTCATACACGGAAAAATAGAGTATTTTCTGAATTTAGATACCCAGGGTTTTCAGGGTTGGACTAGATGACCCTTGGGTCCCTTTCCAACTCTCTGGTTTTATGTTTTCAGCATCGATTCTCTGCAATTCTCAGAGCAGGGAACTCATTTTCCGCAGCGGATCTGGGCCGTGTGAGACGAAGGAGGCCATGATTTCATTTTTATATTTAAAATTTCCCTGTTTTTCGCCCGCCCGGCAGGTCTGCATCGAGATCCCGGGGACGTCGAAGCTGTTCCTGGAGCTCCCCCTGGTCATCGGCACGATCCCCCTGCACCCCTTTGGCAGCCGCACCTCCAGCGTCAGCAGCCAGTACAGCGTCAGTCTGGATTGGGTCCGGATGGGAATTCCCGAAGAGCCCGAGGGTAAGAACCCGTAAAAAAACCTTGCAAGGCAATTTTATATATTGCCTTGTGTGCATGTGTTGCAGAGGGTTTTCGCCAGCTAAGTCTTACTCAAGAGTAGACCCATCGGCACCAATCGAGAAAAGATACAAATTTGGAGTCTTTTAGAAAAGACCGGAAACCTCTGTGTATATATATATATGAATAACTTTTCTTACAAAATAGCTTTATATAAAGAACTTTTTTTAAAAAATGAATTTATATAAAGAACTTTTAAAAAAATGATTTTTTATAAAGAACTTTTTAAAAAATGATTTTATATAAAGAACTTTTGAAAAAACGATTTTTATAAAGGGAACTTTATAAAGCAACTTTACGAAATAACTGCATATATAAAGAACCTGTGTAAAGTTGCTGGAAACCTATCTATCTATCTATCTATCTATCTATCTATCTATCTATCAAACGTTTCTTATAAAATTGCTTTATATAAATAACTTTTTTTAAAAAAACACGATTTTATATAAATAACTTTTTTAAAAAAGCGACTACAACTCCCATTATCCATAGCTGGCAGGACAATGGACGATGGGAATTGTAGTCCGACAGCATCCTGGTTGCTTTAGGCTTATCCCACCTGGCAGGGATGTTGGGGGGAGGAGGAACAACCAGGTGCGCCAATGCCACCTTGGGGAGGTGAAAAAGTCGGGGTCCCTAAATAATATGATTGATATAATAATATAATATAATATAATATAATATAATATAATATAATATAATATAATATAATATAATATAATATAATATAATATAATATAATATAATATAATATAATATAATATAATATAATATAATATAATATAATATAATATAATATAATATAATATAATATAATATAATATAATATAACCTGCTCCAAGCAACCCCGTAACTCTTCCCCTTGCGCTCTCTCTGCAGCTCCTCCCGAATACTCGTCCGTCGTCTCCAGCGAGGGACCCCTGGAGACCCTCTCGCCGCCCAGCCAGGACGGCGCCCCCCCAGGCGTCCTCGAAGGGCCCTTTTTCGCCTACATCCAGGAATTCCGCTTCCGGCCGCCTCCGCTCTATTCCGAGGTGAGCTCACTGAGGACTAGAAACCCTGGCGTCCAAACAGCGGCCGGCAGTGCTTGGCCGTCTCGCTGGTGGGGAGAAGGAGCAAGGCTGTTTTGGGTGTGGGACCCCCAGCGGTCATCCATCCCAACCCGCATATCACGCAGGGACCTTGATTCGAACCCACGGCCCTGAGTTTTGGGGCTCTTTGCACAGGCTGGGTCCCTTCAATGGGGACACCCCTTAAAGCGAGTGCTGGGCTGCCCCTCCTCCATAGCTGTCAACTGTTCCCTTTTCTTGCGAGGAATCCTATTCGGAATAAGGGAAATTCCCTTTAGCCGCCCTGAGCCCGGTCTTGGCTGGGGAGGGCGGGGTATAAATAAAAATTTATTATTATTATTATTAAAAAAGGGAACAGTTGGCAGCTATGCCCCCCTCCGCTCTCGAACCCTGGGACTTGAAGCGGGTTGGGCTAGATAACCGCCAGGGTCCCATCCAGGATTCGACGAATCTTCGCTAACACCTCTTTCTCCTCCTCTCCTTCCTAGGTGGATCCCAATCCCCAATCGGACGCCGCCATCCGCCCCCGTTGCATGACCTGCTGAGAGGCGCCTGCCATTGGATCTCTTGGAATGGATCTCTTTTGCTTTCCCGGGAACGGGATCTGGCGAGGAAGGAGGAGACCCCGCAATCTGGGTGCGAACGAGGAGAGGGGCTCCGGCGGGGAGACGGCTCCTTGACCCCCCAGAGGCGGCAGAGGCGAGGTTTGGGGTGTCCCAGACCGACGGCACCGATCCTGCGGGGTTTACGGAGGCGGAAATGGGGACGTTTGAACCCCCCAAGGGGGAATGCCTGCCTTGTGACTCACTATCTGGCGTTCCCGGTTTCTCTTTCGACGACACCTACGGGCGAGAAAACTGGGCGGGGAGATTCCCCAGGCAGCGGGACAAGTTGCGGGGTTGAGCGAAAGTTTTGGGGTGACCCCCCCTGATTTTATCTCCCACTAAGCTTTGCGGAGACGGGATTCGAACTCGCCGCTCTGGGTTTCAGGGCACGAAGATCCACCCCGTGGGTTTTTAAGGTGGGGAAAAGAAGGTCGGAACAGCTTGGCAGGAGAAGGAAAGGAACCTTTGCGCTGTTGAAGGCAGAGAAAATGAGTTTTTTTGGGGGGGTCGTGTGGGGTTTTTGTGCCTTTCGGGGAGCAGATCAGACCCCAAATTCTGGGCATTTCGAAGACGACGTGGGGGGAATAGAAGAAAATTGTTTTCTTCTTCTTCTCTCTGAAATTGCATTCCACTTTCCAAAGCTTGCTGGTCTCCAGGGGAGGGGCGTATTTTGATTTCCCCCCCATGTTGGGACAGTGGCCTTACATTGTAAATATGTGTAAATATGATTTTCCTGATATGCTGTGGATTCAGAACTTAGCAAAAGAACCGGTTTCCAGGTTCATATTTTTATAGAATACCTGCGGCCTTTTCAGAAACACCCCCCCCCCAAAAAATAACACCTGTGTTTGAAAACAAAGCTTTGTGGCTTTTTTGTACAAGTGTTGAAATTAAAGTTGTGAAATTTACTCTGTGTCCTGAGTTTCTTGCCCAAAATTTCAAGGAGGGGGGAGAGGGCTGGGGTCTTTAACCCGACTTGGGACTCCTGTGGTTTCCGGGGAAACTTTGTGTGCAGTTAAAATCTTCAAAAATCGCCCTAAATGTCAATAACAGAAAGTGATAAGAAGCTGCTGTTTTTCCCAATGAGTCAAAACATCCATCTAACTCAATACTGCGTACACTGGCTGGCAGCAGCGCTCTGGGATTTCAGGCCCGGATTGTAGGACTAATGTCAATAATGGAAATTGATAAGAAGCTGCTGTTTTCCCACTGAGTCAAAACATCCATCTAACTTAATATCGCCTGCACTGGCTGGCAGAAGCTCTTTTTCGGGAAAGGATCGTAGAATTGTAGAGCCATAAGGGACCCGAGGGTCATCTAGTCCAACCCCGTGTAATGCAGCAATCTCTGCTTTATTTTGGCCCCCGCCGGTGAGACCGAGGGGGGGTCTGGGCTGCCCAGGACCCCCAGACCTCCTGTCCAGGCTTGCACCCCAAGCAGACGTCCCTCTGCTTTTCCCTTCACCCCTGGAAGCACACTCCATTGTCTCTCGAGGTGCCGACAGCAATGGGTCCCGTCTCGGAACGGACTGGCAGAAATGGCCCTCTGGGGGCAGACGGGCTCTCGAACCCGGCACCTTCCACATACAAACATCTGCCAGATTTAGGTATAAGCTCAACAAGCTCTAGCTTAAAGGGGAAAAACCCTGGATGTACGTTTCCAAAATATAAGATAAGGGAAAGGTAAAGGGACCTCTGACCATTAGGTCCAGTCGCAGACGACTCTGGGGTTGCAGCACTCATCTCGCTTTACTCGCTGAGGGAGCCGGCGTCCAGCTTCCAGGTCATGTGGCCAGCATGACCAAGCCGCTTCTGGCGAACCAGAGCAGCGCACGGAAACGCCGTTTACCTTCCCGCCGGAGCGGTACCTATTTATCTACTTGCACTTTGAGGTGCTTTTGAACTGCTAGGTTGGCAGGAGCAGGGAAAGAGCAACGGGAGCTCACCCCATTGCAGGGATTCGAACCGCTGACCTTCTGATCAGCAAGTCCTAGGCTCTGTGTTTTAACCCACAGCGCCACCCGCGTCCCTTAAAATATAAGATAAAAAGCAAATAAAATAAAACCTACATCCAGGAACAGTGTTTTGTGTTGTGTCGGCTCCTCGGATGTGAGTCATGGGCCCCGCCTGCTCCCTAAAATATCCCTGCTTTGCTCCTTTCTATATATAGGGTGCCGACATTCTGCTATTTATAATTACTAGTAGTTTGCATCGGGACGCAGGTGGCGCTGTGGGTTAAAGCCTCAGCACCTAGGACTTGCCGATCGAAAGGTCGGCGGTTCGAATCCCCGCGGCGGGGTGCGCTCCCGTCGCTCGGTCCCAGCGCCTGCCAACCTAGCAGTTCAAAAGCACCCCCGGGTGCAAGTAGATAAATAGGGACCGCTTACTGGCGGGAAGGTAAACGGCGTTTCCGTGTGCTGTGCTGGCTCACCAGATGCAGCTTGTCACGCTGGCCACGTGACCCGGAAGTGTCTTCGGACAGCGCTGGCCCCCGGCCTCTTGAGTGAGATGGGCGCACCACCCTAGAGTCTGGCAAGACTGGCCCGTACGGGCAGGGGTACCTTTACCTTTACCTTTAGTAGTTTGCATCATATATTTACACCTCTGATTATTTCATGTTCTAGCAAGTGGCTACATTCTGCATGGACTGGTTGCGCAACCATGTGCAAATGGCTTGAGATCAGTGACCCTATAGCATCTATTCAACACAAAAAAACACACCGTTAAGTTAGAGCTTAATCATTATTTCACTATTAATATACTTCTTCATTTTTAACATTGTTTTTAACATTTGATTGGGAGCCGCCCAGAGTGGCTGGGGAAACTCAGCCAGATGGGCGGGGTATAAAGAATAAATTATTACTATTATTTCACTATTCCTATGCTTCCTCTTAACTGTATTTGATTACTTGGATAAAATACATAATTTTGTTCTGTGCAAATGGCTTGAGATGCTTATTAGGTCCATCAATGACCATATATAGCATATATTCAACGCAAAAAACAGCAACAATTTGCTGTTGACTGAAAGGACAGCTGGACATAGAAAGGGCCCCATTCCCTTCAGGAGCTGAGGGCCGCATCAAACCTGAATCTGGCCCTGAACTCATGCCAGCCCCTATGTTTCGAACCGGCATCACTCTGGAGGGGTCCCCATCCCTGGGGTGGGGTGCGATAACAATAATAATAATTTATTATTTATACCCTGCCCATCTGGCTGGGTTTCCTCAGCCACTCTGGGCGGCTTCCAACAGAATATTAAAATACAGTATTAAACATTAAAAGCTTCCCTAAGCAGGGCTGCCTTCAGGTGTCTTCTAAAAGTCAGGCAGTTGTTTATTTCCTTGACATCCGATGGGAGGGCGTTCCACAGGGTGGGTGCCACCACCGAGAAGGCCCTCTGCCTGGTTCACTGTAACTTGGCTTCTCTCAGGGAGGGAACCGCCAGAAGGCCCTTGGGAGGAGGACCCTGGTGTCCTGGGGTGGAGACGCTCCTTCAGGGATACTGGGCCATTTAGGGTTTTCAAGGTCAGCACCAACCCTTTGAATTGTGCTCGGAGACGTCCTGGGAGCCAATGTAGGTCTTTCAGGATCGGAGTTATGTGGTCTCCACTCCCAGTCCCCAGTCTGGCTGCCACATTCTGAATTAGTTGCAGTTTCAGGGTCACCTTCCAAGGGAGCCCCACGGAGAGCGCATGGCAGGAGTCCAAGCGGGAGATAACCAGAGCATGGACCACTCTGGCCAGACAGTCCGTGGGCAGGGAGGGTCTCATCCAGCGTACCAGATGGAGCTGCCCTGGACACAGAACTGACCTGCGCCTCCATGGACAGCTGGGAGTCCAGAATGAGTCCCAGGCTGCGCACCTTGTCCTTCGGGGGCACAGTCACCCCATTCAGATCAAAGTCCCTGCGGATTCAAGTGCGTCTGGGACGGGGACACCTGCCTGGGTGTCCAGCTTTCCAAGGATTAAAAGCACTCAGTGTCCCCTTTTCCGCTGCCCCCTCCCCCCTCCCCCAGAACATCTTGTATCCTGCCGGTCACTTGGTCAGACGTCCAGCAGACACCTGGCTGTGTGCCTGGCCTGGATAGCTGGACGTGCGTCGAGACAGGCTGGGCGTCCCAAGCCAAAACAAGCCAAAACGTAGGGCCCCACTCTCTTGGGGCCCCCCCAAAATGAATCAAGCTATAGCTTAGGGCCCCACTCTCTTGGGGGCCCCAAAAATGTTTAGGGGTATGGGTACCCCAGGGGGGAAAGCACTGGGTATAATTATTATTATTATTATTATTATTATTATTATTATTATTATTATTAACCTAAGGTTACCAGACATCCCCATTTCCCGGGGACAGTCCCTGGATTTACAAACCAGTCCCCTGACAAAATCCATCTATTTAGCAGGAAATGTCCCCGGATTCATTGGAAAATATCTGGTCACCTTATATTAACCATTTTTTAAACAAGGCATAAAGCGAGGAGCTCGAATCCTAATAATGAACAAGTGGCTTTGTTTCCGCTCCTGCGAACACAGGAATGCAGCAAATTACAACATAAATCGTACGGAAGAATCGACCAAGGCGTGCAAATTGAACGTGCGTCAGAAGAGCTGCTTCGCCGGTGGGATTTCTGGCTGAGCAACCCCTAAAAAACCCGGATTGTGCCGGACTTGGAACAAAAAAACCCCAACATCTGATCAGCTTTGCCAAATTTCCTTGGCCAATCCCGAAACCTGGGAGTGTCTCTAAACCTCCCTGCAGAAAGTAATTGTCCCCCGCTTGGCACATTTCCCCAGGGACACACGCCCAGTTGCGATCGACACTTTGCCCTTTGCAAGGATGGCGGGACACACCCTGCAAATTCACCCAATATTGGCACACCCTGTCCCTTGCGTTTCCGAAACGCCTGCCAGAACTCGGATTTTGCAATGGGGCAGCATCTGGGGAACTCCCTGCCAATGGATGAAGCAAAGAGGCAGGTGTCATCGTTGCACCTGTTTAAAAAAAACACATTTTTGTTTAAGCCAAGTCAACCCGGATTATCACCATTTTAACTT